TTTTGGACATCCCTCTTCTAAGAATTCCAATTGAGTGTGTTAGTGTGGCCAGCTCAGGGCAATATGATATTATAAACACAGCACATATCACGTCTCTGCTGTTTATAACTTCATAGGAAAGAAAACACGCCATTCATAACAGATTGAACGACTAAACCTCTCCCAAGAGCAACAGGAACTTTGCTGCAAGACAGGCATATGTAACGATGACTTAGCGCACCTAAACAAATGCCTCATTATATATAGTACTTGTGACAACAGGCCAGCGAAAAATCTAACAATCTACAGCAAAACCATCAATTATTATGGGCATTATAACATAGGTGTGCAGCTGGACGAAACATAGACGTCGAACCCCCCCAGACGATTTAAATACCTGACAAAACATACACATCAAACCACGCTGAACGGTTAAGGCTTCAAGATGCAGATTGTTGTTTTTCATGAACTGGAATGGTGATCTGCTAATGCCTCATGGAAAGTTACATTTCCTTTTTGATTCTTGAGCATTCTTCCCAGCTTCTAAACATTGAACAGTTTTGGTCATATCTTTCTCCTCATAAATTGATGATATAGCAGTTGAATTTAAGATTTATTTCCCAGTGTCATCACAGTGAAGGGCCATAATGCCCAGGCTCATGACTTTGATTGGCCATGTCAGTGTGAAGGTGCTGTTTGACATTTCAGAGACTTTCTCTCTACATCAAGGGGGGGGAGGGGTTGCTATGATGACTGTTGTGTTTGCATACTATGCATTTATACATGTGGTCCATACTGTGACAAGACAGCTTTAGGTGAAAATATGTCACATGATGGAGTTACTGTAGACAAGTTTTCAATTGGTAATTGGATTTATTGCACACTTTAATACAGTACCCTTTACATTTCACTATTACAAACACACACACATGCACACACTAGTGTCCATGGTCACATCTTCACTGCCATCGTTTGATAAGGGGTTTCAACGGCGGACATTCCCCTTCATCTGGGTTCCTGAACCATCCCTGACCTCACCTGCCAACTTCTAACAGCAGCAGCTTACAATGACTGAAATGCAGCAATTCTCTAAAGTGATCAGGGCATGAAGCTGACCACTCACCTCCAGCTAGTGCTGAGGACAAGAAAATGTGGATGGATACATCCACTCCACCATATGCCTTCATGGCATAGTGCTTGATTAGTTTAATACCTGTAGTGATAAAATTTGTTCTAGACCTGCACAAAACTTAATGAATTTAGTCTGGTTTGAATTATTAAAGCTCTTTTTATTCAATTCTAAAATAATTTGTTTAATGTTTGAAATAAAATGAATATGTTTCTTTCAATATTCAGTACAATTACACTGGCTGAGAGTGAGGAAGAAATTCGATTGGTGGATGATGCCTTTGCCAAAGTTTGTCTGATGATCAATGACCTATCTATGCGAGTTCGTACTCTGGCAGCACAATTTCTGGGAACAATGACTCTTGTCAGTCCAAAGTTTCTTCAGCAGACGCTGGATAAGAAGCTTATGTCCAATATGAGAGTAAGTTATTAGAAAATGCTATTTGTTTGTGGTATTTCAATTTCTAATGGAATATGTGTGATTTTCCGGTAAGAAAATTGCTGATGTACGAGATGTACAGATTAAAATCTGTTTTATAAATCAAAGCTACCTACACCAATGAAAGTTTTATTACATAAAAACAGCATTCCAAATTTGCAATTCATGCAGTAGGGAAGTGACTAGACATGTGCGAAAGCTGGTATATTCTGTGTGACTATATAAAAGCAGATTAGTGATGGTAGTGTATATACAGTTTTGAACAAGAGCAAATCCCCCTTTAAGCAATGTATAGACCCTGATTGTGCAATGTATTCAGTATAACCACCTGGTACTGAAGAGACAGTCCACCAGGCAGTCATGTGTAGCCTGCGAAAGTTTATAAGTCTTAGCCCACAATTAGGAAGAGCTTATGGATGCATTTACAAATAAAGGGCTACAAGTTTCAATTTTTACAGGAACTTAAACTAAAGCATTTAATTTTTGTGACAGGATGATGAAAAACATCTAATGAAAATAATTTTCTTTCAATGCATCGTTCAGAGATGGAATTTTTTTCACCTTATTAGGAACTGCAAAAGCCATCACAGATCAATTGAATTTGCCATGGATACTGTGAAGATAATGTTCTTTGTATTGCCTGTGAAGAAATTTTACAAATCTTGCATGTTTGCAGAACAGACATAACCTCATGTGAAATATGATGCTGTTTAGTTAAGTGGAAGTTAGCTGAAGTTTCAGAGAACATATGTCTTAATCTTCAGAGTTTGAAGAGTAAGTCGAACAAGTAACCAACAAGATGCACACACTAAACCCCAAGCAGGGCCTGCTGCCTGCTTGTTGCTGGTTACTTGCTTGGTTACTTTTCAGCCCTGAAGACAGAGATAAAACCTTCTTTTGTAATGTCGTAAATACACTATGCGCCAAAATATACAGTACTGAAACTTGCGCATCTCGAACACGCATGTGCGTTTGTCGATGGGGCATAGCTCCAGTCGCACGTGTTCCCAGTAGTGAAAAGGAAGTTGTGTTGTGCAGTTGTTGTTGTAAATGGGTCTCTTGACAGAGGAAAAAATATTCATAGTTGAGTATTATTTCCGCTCGTACGGAAGTGGTCACCAGACAACCCGCTTCCTTGGTTTTGAGCGGCCAGATGTTTTCGTCCAGAAACTGCTACATAGTACACGTGTGACAATATGGTGTGCCATCTCAGCACACGGTATATTAGGCCCTTATTTCATTGAGGATGAGGAAGGCCATGCTCTTACCGTCACCCAAGAACACTACAGGGACATGGTGATTGGACCATTTCTTCAGGATTTGAGAAGGTTCTATCGTGCAATGGCAATGAATAGGCAATGGTATCAACAGGACATCTTTTCATTTCAGTACTGTAACTTTTGGCGCATACTGTAATATAAAGGTGACAAAAAGTAAAATCAGCAGTTATAATGTATATAATGAAGAAGTTTAAAGTGTTTTAAAATCTGAGTATGTGGGTACAATACTAACAACTAGAAACGCAGTTTATGATAAAATTTGGAGAAGAATGAATTCTAGAAATGTTTGTTATTATTCAGTTTGAAAGCCATTATTGTGTTACTGAAAATCGGACTGTAAAAAAAATAATTTTGCCATTTGTTTTATAATAGTTCTGTGAAATGTGGTTTCTTACTTTAAGGAAGAACACTTGTTCGAAATGCTCACAAAAATATTTTAACCAGAGGAGGATGAAGTAAGTGAATGAGTTATGATTTGTGTAACAGGGATTCTTTTGGTTTATATAGGTCTCTTAGCTTTGTTAGATTTGTGAAATCATGGAGGCTACAGGGGGCTAGGGCATGGAGACAAGGAACATATGCACAATTTTAAGAATCTACTTGGAAAAATCATGTGGAAAACTAAGCTGGAGAGGAAAGGACAACATTAAGATGGATCTTAGAGAGATAGGTTATAACGATGGGAGGTGAATGGAACTAGCTTAGAATCATGCCCAATTGCAGGTTTTGTCATTAGCTGTGCTGAAACGTAAAGTTCTGATGTAACTAGTACATGCTATAAGTAGTAGATGTTAAATATTCTGTGATTTCATATGCAGTATGTAATCATTTTAGCATGAACCCTGTAGCTTGTTAGGTATTGTGACTAGGCTATGTATGGATGATCAGAGAATCTTGAGTTGGATTCCTGATGGGGAGTTTTTTTGCTCTGGGGCCCACCCAGTCCCCTGCCCAGCGGGTACCAGTGACTCTTTCACAAGGGTAAAGCAGTTTATGTATGCAGGTAACCACTCATATCCACCTAGTGCCGAAGGAAAAAAAAGTCCAGACCTATAACTCTACTACACTATATGTCAAGCCTGACATGATGTTTTGTTAATTAATACCTTTACCTTTACCTTTGCCTTTTATGATCTCTGCAGAAGAAGTTCTCGGCTCATGAACGTGCATGGGAGTCAGTTACTTCAGGTGAATGGGCGAGTGGAAAGAAATGGGGTGATGATGCTCCCAGAGAACTGATGGATGCCGATTCTGTGAGCCTCATGAGTAGTGGCTCTTGTGGAGCTTTTGTTCATGGCTTGGAAGATGAGTACCAAGGTACATGTCCATGTTTCTGTCTATGGGAGTCTTGGACCCTTACCCATTGCTTAATATTACATCTGCCTTCCCACACATCTTTGAGGCACTTTCAATAAAATTGTGAATAACCTTTATTTATTTCTAGTAATGGCTGCATTGATCGTGAAAGAGAGTGACACATTAACACATTACTAAGAGATGGTTCAAACAGTTTCCTTAGTTACAGAAGCTTCCCTGACCCTCCATAGTGGTATATGGTAGAAATGTGTAAATTCACTTTGCAATATCGCAGACAAATCATCCAAACAGGAAACTCCTGACATTTGCTCTCATTCATCAGTGTACAGAGCAGGGTTAAAGTCTGATATGCTTTATCTGAATCATGATTGTGGATGTACAAGTATTCCCATCTACTTGGGCTGTCCAAAGACGAACACATAAATGCCATATTATCTGAAATGTCATGTCGTCCCACAGGAAGAAACATTTGCTGTGAAAATTAAGGTGCATGTCATTGAACTGGCAACTCTTGTAAAGACCCGCAGTAAACTTAGGATTACTGGGTATTTGGACCTAATCCAGTGTCCAGTATCCTAAAGAATATGTCATTTTGAAAACCAGATCTTTTTCCATCCTTAGATGAGGTGGTGGGAGACACCTACTCTTTTGGGTCCATTAGAAAGATCTAACCTCAATCACTTGAGCTTGGTTGTGCCATAAATGGAAACAACTAAGTGTTCAATGTACTGTTTACACCAATAGAGCCCCCGTTGTGCATGGTAAGTTGTTTTTTGTGTTTGTCCTGTTGAACCCTATTATGATGGATAAGTGGCTGGAAACCAGTTCTTTGAAATGCACAACAGAGAAGTGTGAAGGAAATGCAAGTTTTGGTAATAACTGTGACAAAAGGTGCAGTGATTTGACATTATCGGGCAAGTTTGAAAGTTGAATGGGTGAACCATATGAACCATCTGTGCATGTATTGAAAGTAGCTAAGAAAAAGGAGTCCAGGAGTGTAATGAGGATTATCTTAAATTGAAACTTTCCTGGACTGGTGATGAGTTACAACAAATTGCACACTGACTTGATTTGTTATGAGGCTGTCACAAATGATAGTATGAAACTGTGCAACCTCAAGTACCACTTCGATAAAGAACATAAAGAATGCTGTGACATAATGGCTAGGCAGCTGCATAGTAAACATGTTTCTGCTGCAGCCAATCAACACACAACAATAGAAGAACTGTGTGAGATGGCCATCAGACTGGGAGTTAGTTGGAGTAGTGAGTCAGTTGTGAGATATTTGCCATCTGGTAAGGGTGTCAGCAGAGGACACTTAAGTTCCGTTACCAGGAAACGACTAGTGAAGACATTTAACACTTTGTATGTGCTACAGTTTCAGTGATCTTTAAAGTGTGTAAACCAATGAGACTGTTATAAATACTTGGAGTTAACAAGTTGTGTGTATAAGTGTTCAGTAAATCGAGTCACCTATCCAAACCCCTTCTGTAGGCACTCATACACATGACGGTATGTTGAACATATCTTTGCTCATTTGAACAGTCTGAATTTATCCCTGCAAGCAAGATGATACCCACACTTCATGTTCGAGACAAAGGCAGCATGATTATTGCAAAACTGAAGCTGTGAGATAAATTTACTAGTCGTAGCAAGTTTGGATTCCTTTCCATTCCTTTATGACTTTGCAGTGAAATTATGCGAAGGCTTTGATGTTGATGTGTTGTGAACTGTGAAGGGTCACTTGGAAGACTTGAAAGGAGTTCTTCATAAGTACTTCCCTCATCCAGGTGAGAGCTTTCAGTAGATAAATTGCCCTTTCTTTGTCAATGTCAGGACATTGCCAAACAACATCTCAGCTTCAGAAAAACAGCTCTTTGAGTTCACTTCAGATGCCTTCCTGAGAATGGCATTTCATCAAAAGACACTGACATGATTTTGGATGAGCATTCAGTCTGACTACACTGCCCTATCAGACAAAGCTTCTACCATTCCCCACTTTGCGCATGTGTGAATATGGATTCTCTGTGCTGGTTTGTATTAAAACATAAAAAACAGAACAGTCTTGTAGATGTAGATGTAGCCAGATATCCCTCCACTGCTGTCAGGTCACAGACAGATCCATTCATAACACAAAACAACATATTTGCAGATGTGTGGGTGTCTGTAAATTTTAACTTAATTATTATAAGTTTACATTTAACTGGCAGTACTGGTAATGCTCGTACATTTCTGTATGCTTTGTGACTTATATCATAACCTCTTTTTAGTTTGTAACTAAAGCTTAATCTGTGGTTCAGACAGACACCTACTAGTCAACTGGGTCTGATAATTGGATGAGCCAGTATTTTGCTAAGACTTATGGCCAAAGGGAGGTACACAAATTTGTTAGCTTGGGGAGTAGTAGTACACTGAAAAGAATGATTCACAATTCAATCTTTGATTCAAATAATGGCATTATGAACATTTTATTCTGACTTACATAAGCTTGAAATCTAAGCAACATGTAGTGTTTTTATTATGAAACACTACTTCAGTCACATGGATTAATTTCCCTGCCAACCCTCAACTCTCACCAGTGTTGTTACAAGGTTTAGAAATTTCCAGAATTACATGTGATTCTTTATATATATATATATATATTGGGGGAATAAATTCATGAGTCTCACTGTTATGTGGTGTGAATGATAACTTGTTGAATGGTTTAAGATATTCATCAGGATAAGCTGTAGCTGAACAAAGCAGAGTTCATTTTACTGCTTGTTCATAATATTGATACATTTGCTCCGATTGTGTTCCATTCCATTTTGTTCACAGTAATGTTGGGTTCTGAGATCAGTCAATTGCCTATAGCTATGCTGTACAGCACCACAATCAGTGAGAAATGAATAGAATTTAATTGTATGATAATATTGTCAGTGTGATAACAGATGGCTTGTTATTTTGTATAATGTTCTTTTTTTAACTTCTTATTCAATTCTATTGTAGGCTGTATTGTTCGTGTTGTTTAAGACATCTAAAGTTTTGTGTTTTAATTAGTTTTTATTTTCCTTTTCTCTTATTTTTACAACATGGGGCATGTGGTAGCATAGTTAACTGAGGCACTATGCTACAAGCTGGAAAGTCACAGGTTCAAATCCCGATAAGGTCATTGGATTTTTTGATTGACCTAATCCTTCCAGCTGCCCTATGGCCCTGGGGTCGACTCAGCCTCTGACAGGAATGAGTACCGGGAATCTTCCTGGGGTAAAGGGGAGCCGGTGTGTAAGGCTGACAACCTTACCACCATTTGTGAGCTGATTGTCTAGAAAATGTGGGAGCCTTGATGACTCTCAACCCTATGGACCTCCATGGCCCCGTTACAGGGATAACTGTACCTTTTCTTATTATTACAAAAGTCATTCTTTGCATTGGATACAAATGGCATGTTTGAACTTTTTTTAGAGGTTCGTAATGCTTCAGTGGATTCTCTGTGCTCGTTGTCTCTGAACAACCCGCAGTTTGCACAGATGTCCCTCGACTTCTTAGTGGACATGTTTAATGATGAAATAGAAGATGTGAGACTTAAAGCTATTGATAGCTTGACCAAGATCAGCAAGTACACAGTTTTGAGGGAAGATCAACTTGAAACCATCCTCGGTGCCCTTAAGGTACATTATAAGTCTGATGTATAAATTTTTCAGTACTGGGCGTATTTATACAGAACTGCTGTCTTCCTTTCATGCATCTGGGAAATGTGACAGTCCATATTTAGAGTTTACATATAGAATCATAATTTTTAATGTGCTATGTGTTACTGTACATGGAAGAACTTCTGCTCTTGCATGCCATAGTAAATGAAATAATATAGTTTCATTTATCCCCTTTGAACTTTTCCTTTTATTTTGTAATATTCACTAATTTCCTAAGTTATAAATTAAGTTCTGAACAAAGGCAAAAATAATACCGTCTAATGTGACTATTTAAGTTTTATCACTTGAGGATTTATCTCCCTTACATATTTCGATCCTTACGGATCATCCTCAGAGGGTATCAATACTTTCGGAAACTACTATTACAATAGATGTTAATTGTATGGATACACATATGATGCCTAAAATGCATAATATACGCAATGTTCAACCTTCCACATTCACAGCGGCCATCTTGGTGTTAAAACTTTTTAAAAAAAGTTTGCTTTAAAAACTTTCAAGATCAAGCTTAAAATTTATGAACCATACAGGTTCGCGTCAAATCTCCTATTGTTATTCGTGGAGGTGGCTGGTCCTGTGCCACCTGTTTATCTTGCAAAAGGAGATTTTTAGTATTTCCGTGTTTATGCGTGGCCTGCTGTGTTGTTTACACACAAATTAAATTTAAGTTCTGAAGTTATAATAATAATAAGTTTTGGGTGAATTTCCTTCAGTATGTTCTGTATGGTTTTGTTTATGTTCATATGTCAGATGATATTGGATAGGTTATGCATTTATTGAGATAAATAAGAGAGAATAGGTAGAAGTCACTTTGCTAGGGTCATACAATAAAGTCACGTAGCTTTGTCTATATCAGCATTGGCATTTGAGAGACCCGCTGTTCAGCAGATTCCTTAACATTATAGTGTTACGTGGATTTAAAAAAAAAAGTTGGATTCCTTGCATTGTATTGTCTTGTTGTCATGTCCTGCATGTCTTGTTATTGTTTGACACCATTATTATTAAATGTTGATAAAAAGAATATGCAACTCCACTGGGTCAATGGATGTGGACATTAGATGAATTGAATTTGTTGTTTTTATGTATGAGTTTTGATTGTGGTTCTAGGACTTTTCAATCGATGTACGAGAAGGCCTGCACAAGATGCTGTCAGCTTGTCGTTTGTCAAGCAAAGGATGCCTACAGATGTGTGTGGAGAGTCTGTTAGACAACCTCAAAAAGTATCCTATGGTAAATCTATCTATATACATATATATGTGTGTGTGTGAGATAGAGCATTATTTATAAAACATTTTCATCTACAGAATGCTTTTGACCTAAAAACTGCTGAATTCATAAATCCAAGCCCTTTGCCATAGGGATTCTGTGCCATGCTCATAAACTTGCTTGTCCCCAATGCTGAAATATTAAGATCATTACTACTGTTGTGATGTGTAAACTGCCCTGTAATCTGTGGTCATAACACATTCAAATCTGGGTAATGCAGGAAAAGGTGAGCTTTCTTTTCAACTAACTTATATTTGAGATGCAGGTCTAGAATTGATTTGAGAGAAAAGCAAAGAGTGTGCATCTGTCTGTATTTGTCTGTTATTATATGCTGTATTCTTCTTCAGGATCGACGGTCAACATGGCGTTGCCTGCAGAGGATTGGACAAGCCCACCCTGAACTTACACTCCCACTTGTGCCAGAACTTTTGGCAATTCATCCCTTCTTTGACACCCCTGAACCAGATGTGGAAGATCCGTCTTGTATCCTTTGGCACTGACCATTTGAGGTAGTTCTGCCTACCTCATAATTTTGTACTAATAGTCATAAAATCAGCAATGCATTAACAACTTAGTGACATGCCCGTATATTTGTTTACATACTGTCATGTTTTACTAACTAGACATGGGATTTGGATTGATAATTGGATCTATTGAATGCTTATAACTCATAACTAGAAGTAAGAGTAACAACTTACAGATTTATGAATTCAGTTTGTCACTACAAATACAGAACACATAGAATCTTCTGTTTGTTCTCTAATTGTTGCTAGGTAGTGGCTGCTAACAGTGCAGCTCAATTGCAGACCACAACCTCTGACTGACAGTCAATTGACTCAGCTGCTGCTAGTGGTCCTCTTTATATAGCTTCAGCATAGACTGTGTAGAAGACATCACCTCTGGCAGCTCCTCTGCTGTTGCACATTCATTCAGTGCTGCAGACATGTGCTTACCATTCCATAGAAAATGCTGCATCCTGCGTTGTTGCATGTTTATTCATTGCCACAGACGTATGTTTACCACGCCATTACCTATCAATCACTGCATACTGTATTTGTTTCAGTATTCTGGCTCTCAGCCATCATGTCACAATACAGTTTCACTAAAATGTAAGATGGTAAGTTCTTTTCAGCAAATTTAATGTCTCTCTGAAATCTGAATAATCACAATGAAGATTACAATGCACGCAGCCACAAAAGAAGGACACATCACAAGACGCAGTATACACAAAATATAGGAAGAACAACTCCCGTAGGAGAAGAATGATATAATACGCGAGTTTGAAATATGATGTATAAGATGACAAATCTTAACAAATTTTAATATATAAATTTTATTATAGTACATGACGAATATACATTTTAAATCATTTTATAAATGACACATAATGGCGAGCAGTGCAATATTTTAACGTAAATAACACACCTGAGGATGGCACAGTGATGCTGAAACATGTAGTGAAGTGACAAGTGAGATTGTGTGCACTAGAAGACGGTCAATACATACACATCATGGACGTGAATCAGTGCAACAGGACGCTAAAATACAACATCACAATGAAGAGTTTTAGGCTTTCATGGTGGGTTGTTGAAACTAATTTTGTTCTTGGGTTGTCATATTGTGCGGACGTATGCAATGATGCCAACCCTTCAGAGGTATGTGCTGCCTTCATCTTCAGCATAACAATCCAAGAACAGGATTAACATCAGTAATAGAGAGTTGTTTGTAATGAAAGTCTTTAAAGCCACTTTTCTAATTAATATTCTGTTTGTGTAAAGTGCTCTTAGCACACTTTCTGCCAATCACATTGCAGTATATGTGCATTGTTGTGGTTGTTACCTTTACCAGTTTTGTCAGCCTGTTTTTGTACACATTCTCCTTTTATTGCTTGTTTGTTGGTAAGGTGGAGCATGAAATGTGTTTGTAGGAGAATATTCTGAGCATGGTTAATCTCATAAAATATGTTGTTGTTTTTTAATATTGTAACGTGTTTCGTTACTGAATACGCCGTAGAGATCGTTAATTGGTTTATTGAACAATCTACAAGTAACGGCTACAATTAATTATAACACAGTTGCGGGGTTTCACATTTTATAACCCTAATCGCAATGATCTGTTCCCACTGTTGCGGGGTTTCACACTTTATAACCCTATGCGCAAATCAGCTCACTCTGTCTTCAGTAGTCTACACATTTACAGTAGGGGAGCTGTGTATCACTGTATCACACACTCCCAATTACACAATCACACACACGTCCGGTTCTTCTTTCTGCGACGGCTGCTATACACCAACTGTAGTCGGCTGACTGGAGAACTGTTGATAACACACTCTCGCTCGACTACTACTGATCTCTGCGACTGCCACAGTACAACTAACTCGGAAATGTCTTCGGCGATGGCCACATTACAACTGACTCGCAGCCGCTGTGCAGCTCACTTATATAGCCGCAGTGCTTGCCTGTTGCGTAATGAGTGCCACGTCATCCTGTTACGTCACCGCTGTCGACTGGCGTTGCATAGCTACCAGGTTGCGGGGGCTCGGCTAACTTCGGCTCCGCTTGTGACGTCACCGCGGGGAGTGTGGCGGGGTGATGATTCGCCTATTACGCGAGCGCTACGTTACCGCCACGTGCCGCTGGGGAGGTAGGGGTCCTTCGTTGCGCAACATGTCACAATATTATGACTTGGTGAATTAAGCTGTAATTATAGATTGAAGAAATGTTTTCCTGACAGATAACTAGATATTTGCATCTTAATATTGGTGTTCAATGCTGCCCAGCACTGTCCAACCATGTTGCAACTGTTTGAGGAACACACACTAAAACATTATAGTTACCTGCGTGATACCATGCCCAACCTTGTGCCAGCTCTCAGGGTAAGTTATATCATGCAATATAACAAAATGTATGCAGCCCTGATTTACACTATAACTGGTAATGGTTTAACTTCACATTTTTCAGCTGACAAAGAGAAAGACACTAAATTTTTCACTTTCTTTCTGTAAGAAAATTCGTATGTATGTGTACCTTAAGCTTTTTTCTTATAATTATCTAAAGGCTTATGACAGTGGTAGATTCATAATGGTAAATATTATATTTGACATCCATTGTCTGAAGCATATTTGATATGCGCAGCATTTTGGGAGTTGGCCATACTCCTGTCTTCAGGTGACAGCTTGTCATTATTCCGACACATTGGTTGTTACGTTTTTCTACTGTGATATTAGTGGTGATACATGGGATCAGTACTGCAGTGGTTTTAATATGACGCTAGTATGCTAATTTTGCTAGTCTAGCCACTCATTCTCTCTGTAAAGTGCACAGCTTGATGCGTCAGTACTCATGTGGAAATCAGGGGAATAACTCTCATTACATGGCGATCTCTGCTGGCTTAACAGGCTTGAATGGCAAAGTTAAGTCGTGAAAATACTTCATGCACAGCATAGATGTGATGACAGAGAGTCCTAGAATACATATATCCATAAAAATTATATGAGGTGCAATAAAATAGTTTCCAGACTGAATTTATTCCTCCATAGAAGTAACACTTATCTTCTAACCTATGTTACCCTCTTCGAAATAGTCTCTCTAGGACAGTGAGCATAGTGATCATGCCACTGTTTGAAGTGTGTCCCAATCATGGTGACATTAAATCTTCTCTTTAATGCCATCTTGAGATTGGGGGGAAAAAAGACACATGGCACTAAGAAGATCTGGCACATGCTGACACAGTTGTCCTACTCTTCCTCACTAAGCAGGCTGGGTATGAATTTAGCAGGAATCCATCACATGTTCATATTGTCTTGCAGAGTGTTCTGACATAACCCAAATGAAATTCTCAACATATCCTCTGTCTTCATGGACAAATTCCATCACTTAATCCACATTTGCATGTGGTTTGCTTGTTAACAGATGTCCCAAGCATTTGACATCTTCAGCAGTGGTCACACAGCTTTTGAACCTGTAACACTAAAAAGTTGTGTTCTTCCCATTATTTGCTCTTCAAATCATACTTTTCAACATTTCAGAGTTTTCCATGGATTTTTTCTCCTGTTTAAAGCTAAATTTGTTACAGACACATTTTTCTTTAAAGTCTGCCATTATCTGGGTAAACAGAAATCATGAATGGAACAGCACACACTTGAAGTTAACAAGACATTACTCAACTGTCGCACATGCTACAACCTCATTCCAAACAGCAAGTAACTCAGCAGTAGTGTCATCTCACAGTCAGTACAAAAATTATTTTATTGCACCTCATGTTGGCATACTGAGATCTGTGGGTACTTGGTTTAACATGATTACCAAATTTATGACTGATGTCTTTGATATCTTTAATCAGAATTTGTCTCTGTCATTAGTTTTTGATTTTTCAGCACCAAGTACAGTGAGTGGTAGAGAAAATTAAAGGTTAAATACCACTGGCAAAATAATTATCATACTGCTATTAAACTGCTATTTTTTATCATTTATTAGTGTTTACTAAATTAACAACTGTCATTCTGATTAATTCAGGTAGTTAATACTTTGTCCATTTTGTAACAGCTTGATGGCTCAAGACGGTCAGCAGAGCTGGTATCGGTAGAAACAGGCACAGCTCAGTTTCTTGATTCCATACTGGCCCGTATGGAAGCGGCACCAAACCCACGAATTCGAGAGGAGTTGCTAGAAGCTGCACAAAGAGATTTGACCCGTCTTGCTACCATTGACAGTGCTGTAGCTGGGGCCGCACAATTTTCAGCTCTCTACATTGGCAGTCAGTTACTCATGGGGAAGCTGCTCTCCAACAGGCTGTGGGCAAATCCATCTACACTTGCTACTCAGCAGGGCAGCATAATTCGCAACTCCATCACCCAGTTGCTGCAGCACTGCCTCAAGTATGCATTACAAGGTTCCCAACATAGCAGCTGATGACTTAGCTCTAAACAGGATTGTAGACTGTACTGCTCTTAGCATTATACTCAGATTTGAATTCCTAAAAAGAGTTTCAAATATCATTCACATTTGTGCAAAATCAATTTAATAGCTTCAGAGATGAAACATGAGGGTGAATGGGCAGGTCTGACCTCCCATTATGCATTTTCTTCAAAAGAGGCATGATAGCTGATGCTGTTGTGAGAAATTTAAACATACTGTTGCAGATTACAGCACTTGTTTGTGGGGCTGAAAGAGGAAGATCTAGCAGCAGTAAAACAGTTTAAACTGAAGGCTTTGGCTCTACAGTTTGTCTATATCGTTAGAGCAAGCAATTCCTCAGCCCTAGCTGTATGTGAACACTTCCTGGAGCAAGTAGAAGACACACAGAGGTTTGTTTATGTATAAGCAAGTCTGGAATGGCTATTCCAGATTTTCATTTATTATTAAGGTTTATTTTAGGCACTTATTCCTAATTCTGGTATGATTTCTGGTTTGTATAGGTACTTGAGTGAACAGGGATTGCAGCCAGAACCATTCACAGCATCTGTCTTCAAGGAAATGGGACAGCTGGAGGACACCAAACCAGGTCCTGTAGCAAGAACTGTACTGCCACTCCTCCAGGTGTCATCTCCAGCACCACCACCTCCCCCCAATATTGCTGTGAGTTACTTGCATGTAGAATTTGTCCCAACTCAGTGGTATAGAGCCTGCTTTATAAAGTTGATAGTTACTTATAAGATCAAAAATGTCCTCCTCTTATGGAACTGTAATATTCGTAACATATAGTTATTTTATGGTGAGCAACTGTTAGCTTCAGGCCCAACTCTGAAGCTAGAGGACTGTGTCTTGTCGGCTGTCCGTGACTGCTTCACCATATTTTTAGCTGTACTTTTTAATTATTTATCATTATTTAGATGAGTTAATATCACATTGATCATCTCACCACTTATGATCTTGATGTCAGTTCTCTCTTGTCCACTCCACTTTCCCCATATGCCACTGCGCTTTCCTCTGCTTCACACCTGGTTCTCCACACATGTCTGCTCTTCACCACTTCTGAGCACAGACCCTCCAGATTAAGGCTTAGCAGCCACTGTTTTATGCATGTAATATTTTTAGAGTAGTTCCATGCCTTCACAGGTGAACGATGTATCAAGAAAGAGCCGCATGCAGATGCCCCCCCCCCACTTATATGACACTACAATAGTTGGAGCCCATTTACATCCCAGGGGCATACCATGCTGTAGTGACAGGGGGCCCTTTTAAAGTAATAAAGCAATTATTATTACTCACGATCGATGCCAAATTATGTGAAAAAGAGAGCTAAATCCATAAATTTTTTTTAGTTGGGTTGAAGAATGTATTCAGAGTTTTGTATCATAAGAACTTCACTAATATGAGCTACATAATCATTTTATAGTAAAGTTCGTGGGCTTAAGTCCCAATGAGGTCATTGAATTTTTTCAATTTACCTAATCCTTTCAGCTGCAATATGGCCCTGGGGTTGACTCAGTCTGTAACAGAAGTGAATACCAGGAAGATTCTTGGGGGTAAAGGGTGGCGGGCACGTAAGGCTGACAACCTTACAGCCGTCTGTGAGCCGAATGTCTAGAATATGTGGGAGCCTTGACCTCTCACAACCCTATGGACCTTCACAGCCTGATGCAGGGACAGTAAAGTTAACCCTCTTACCAGATCACTGTTTGCCTGCTGGAGCTTTTATCAGCTTCAGTGGCAGGGATGTTAAATGTCTTGTAGTGATCAGGGTATTCTGTACTGGTTTTGTCATCACAAGTGCTTCAGGCATCACCAATAAATACATTTATATTGTCTTATGATTGACTGGTTATGGAACCGCATATGGTTATAGGAACTGTTTGTTTGAACCTTGCTCTGTGAGGGTATTATTTGCTTATAGGTACGCATGTCAACAGCAGTTATCACGGAACCAACAGGTGAAGTTGATGCAGCACTGAAATTCACAGCAGGGCTCGTGGTTGGAGTACCTCTAGATGCGGAACTGTGCAATGTTCGAAACACTGCTACCTTGCGTGTGAAGGTAAAATATCCTGACCAGCAAACACAATTAATAGTTCCAAAACGTTCAGATTTTCGGCCCATGCTACTTTCTGACTCAGAAGGTAACAATGTAACAAGTGATACATCTGATACTGACTTCAGACTTCTTACGACAGTCCTTGTGTCCCATCAAGTGTGGACGGAGGCTTGTACCATAGATGTTAGCTTAGCACTGGATTTAACTGATGTTGAGAGTGGACTGGGATTAGGAACGGGCCTGGCCAGCAGGAAGGGTATTGGTGCAGGAATTGCTAAAACCGATGGTGACCCCTGTGTTATTGATCTTTGTAAGCCTGTCAAAGTGTACGTTTCTCCGAAGCCTGTCAAAAGGGGGATCTGAGAAATGTAAAAAAATCAGAAAATGAATTAGTATCCTTCTACACGAGGGACAGAAGATGAATATTTGCATATTAGAGTAAATGTTTATAGGCATCACATAGAAGCCTTTTACTCTGCTTCATTGTCTGCATTGACAGGTGTTATAATAAAGATGAATTCTTTTTAGCCTGCTTTCCTTGTTATGCTTTCATTGCATGTGTACATGAACTGATTGAGGAAATACCATTACCATCTTAACTGAAGGTGTTTGGAACAGGAAGGACCGTTCAGAATGCTAGAGTTCAGAGAACACATGTGGAATGAATTATACTCTTCAGTCTTGTTTTATGAGAAAACACAGATTTATGATACCATGTCTATGTATGTGTTGAAGCTAATAATTCTGGAACCAACTGAAGGATTTTCATGGTATGATCAGACCAATGAAGGCTGTCCCAGCTTTGCGCAGTTTAGGCCTTTTTTCTCTTTCTCTCTTTGAATGAGGCAAAGAATGGTATGGGATTACCATGCTCTCTGCTCATGAACCCATTGCCAGTTTCATGATTTAGTACAAATATTAGTTTTTCTTTTTAAATTCCTACAGTTATTAATAATACCATGTGGGATGGCAATAGTAATAGACAGTAGTTACACATCTTTGTCAAATATAAAACTTTGGTTTCTTTGTTTGTAAAACATGGGAGCCACACAAAAATGTTATCTAACATTCAATTTGACAGCAGGAACTAATGGACCATTGGAGCAAATTTGGAAGGGAGATCACAAACATTCTGAAACAAGACCGGAAAGGTGTAATCTGTACCAGAATACACAGTTTTTCCATACACATTCTTTGCATTCCCTGTGCTCCTAGTTGTTACAGATAGATTTTATGAACAGATTTGCAATATTACATAGCCTATAATTTTAAATATAATATTTATACTGTTCCCTATGAATAATTTCAAATTTCTAACATGCCTGTTCATTCAGCACTTCACTGTAGAACTTGAATGCATAGACACTTGATTCATTAAGTTGCTGATGAGAAATAGAAATACAACCAAAAATATTCGGACACAGTTCACATAATGAACTTGTTTACCCCCAGAAAAAATTAGATTTGTCAAATGTGACCCTCATTTCACTGCAGTGAATGAATAATTGTATGCTTCTCAAACATAACATCAAAGGTGGATGTAAGGTTCTCAGCAGTGACTGTGATATACCGCCAGTCCAGTAGAAGTTCACTGATGTTTTGGAGCAATGGACTGCCCCCCATCTTCACAGTCAGAGAGGAAGTCATGCAAGCAACCAGCAAAGCAGTACTTTTACTCTGATCTAGAAGACAGGAAAAATGTTGGTAAACTTCCTCCAGATCTGACGTTACAGTCCAGAAAATAGTATTCTTCATAGCTTCACATATTTGCTCAATCACCTTATTAACTTAGAAAGAATATTTAATACAGAATTTGGTGATGTGTAATCTGCCTCCATGCCAAATTTCACTTGTCTAACTCCTATGGCTCATTAATTATCAGTACCAAACTGAAAGCTACAGATTTCATGCAGATGCAGTTTGTTATCTTGTATTTTATGAACTACTTGAACAAAGTTTGCATATTTTTTAAATTTCGTTTGCTATATGCGACTGCTTATTTTACCCACCATATTTGGAGGGTATCTCCTAATATGCAACTAGAATGTGCACAATGGTGAGTTGGCAAGGGATCCCCTTAATTAGTCAAGCAATCAAAGAAAATAATGAACACTTTGAAACAATTTTTATTTAATTAATACAGACACAGTTTTGTTTTGAAGATTTATCAGTACATGAATGGTCATGGCTGTTACACACAAAGAATTAAAATGTTATCATCATTAATAAGTATATCAGAACTATTAAGCATGTTTATGTAGGCATTCTCATTAATATTTGGCCCGTCAATATTTGCTCCAATGATGTGACGCCACTGCTGGAGGGGGGGGGGCCGTGTTTACCGAGCGTTGCTCTGTCCACGTCACAACATTAATGTGATTTGGGATGCAAACTGAATATGATAGTCAGAAAATCTGATATCCAAACCATCATTTCTGCAGTCATGCTAACACCAAATAGAAGTTACTTTTAGCCCGGTTTCTGTGAATCATGTTTTGGACATTTTATGCTACTGACCAACTGCTTAAGAAGTACGCAATATGTCACTCCTGAGAAAATACATATCTTGCTTTCATTTGTAAATGATATTTCCTGCACCCTTATTATGTCGGGCTCTTTCAAGCTAAGGCCGCAATCAGTAATGGTAAAATTAAATAGGTAAAGTTTATTCAGTTAAGACTGTGGCCTAGGGGCAGCCCATCTCTAAGGGCAAGAGACACCTAGCTCCACCAGACTGTAACATCTAAATGTATGAAAAGTAGTTTGGTGAATTTCTAATTTTTGCATTTAATACTGTTTCACAGATTTCTGACTTGTTTATATTATGTATGGCATAAAGAGGTTTTCTAAAATCTACATAACAGATGCCAGTTGCGAGAAAACGGAGGACCTAGACTCACAGGATCTACCCAGTCACCTTTCCAAGAAAGTTCCTTCCAGATACTTGCGGATGTCATGCCTTCCCCTTGCAAGTCTGTTCCATTGTACTTTGGCTGGGAGACCCTGGCCCTTCAGATCTTCACAGAATTCTGTGCACATTCTTGCCCCTGCTCCCTACTTGTCAGAACATTTGTTGTTCTCCTTCTGACTCTAGGAACTCAGCTACACTATGGTAAGAGCATGTGCTAACATCTTAGCTTTGTCTTTCTTTATTTGTATAAGATTAAATAATAATATGTGATGTGTATGTTTACTTCAGCTGACAAGTCTGGAATATGAATATGGTTTGAAAGTTTATTACAAATCTCATGTTGATATTATTCTCCTCATGGATTTTTGCACTGTATGGATGTGGGAAGTGTTGCCCAGGCCTCTGACAGTGGAGGCAACATTGCACACACCTGCATAGTTCAAATGCAAGGGCAGAATCATCAACATTGACAGTGAACAACTGCGAAAGCCTAAAATCAGTAATATAAACCCCATGTAAATGTTGGGCTATGTAGATTTAGTAGTATTAAGGGCAGTATTACAGCAGCAAAAAATAGTATAATTTTAGTGACAGTAGTAAACAGATATCATACATAAGAAGCTAATTAAAAACTGTCAAACTAAATTTAAAGATTTCAAAGCGATTCTGTGTCACATAAATTTCTGTTGCCATGATTACAAAAGACATAAAATGAAGGTGTGAGGTATGTAGCCAGTCCTGCCAAAATATATGATAGAAACGGTGCATTTTTAGGCTTGCATTTATCCCTGCTGAAGCTTCTATTAGCATCTGCCTGCACAACTGACCTGCGGATGGTAGAGGGTATAGATGAGCCAAGTGGTATCCAAATCCTCCCCTGACATGCTTTAAGTTGCTATTTAAATAAGACCACAAATTTTGCTCTTTCTTTAAGTATGGACATTTGGGAGGGGTAAATTTTTATCCAGTCTTGGCCCCACATCACATTGCAGCACATTCCAAAAGACTGCAATCTTGATATTAAATTCTGTGAGAATGTCAAATCTTACATCAAGCATTATTGACCAGATTAAAATATCAGTTTTTCAACAAAAAAAATCATATGATGAGATCAGTACTTATATCTGCTGAATCCTGATTCTAATTTTCTAAGTGACTAGATATACACCAGTAACTTTCAACACCAAAGAACAAACCATTATAATACTTTCTGTATAATGACTTCATTTCTTCCGATGCCCTGTGTTTGTGGAACGGCAAGAAATCTGTACATGAAGAATGAATTTCTAGACCACCTAATCAATATGAGGTCTCAACTTTTCCTTGTTATTGACAAACTCATTTCTCAGGAATTTACAGTCATCTATCAGGAATCTGAAACAAATGACACAAACAGCAAAAATTCAATTTCGGTCAACTCATAACCAGTTTTTGTTTGAATAAATTTCACTTTTAAGAATGAGGTCAAGTCTGTAAACTGAAATGCTACAAGCAAAATACCGTGAAAAATATTTTGGAAACTGCTGGCTATTAAAGAGCCGTGTTTTATATATAGCCTTCCATGCACATTAACCCACAAATAAGTGTGCACCAATTATGTAATACTGACCATTCAACCCAAGAATACTTGATGTGTTGTGTTCATGTACATTCTCTAATTTTACTTCACCTAGGATGCATACACATTAGTGTCTGCCGCTGTCTCAGGGTATTCACTGAATTGTATTTAGGACTGCATACCCTACTATTATGAAATAAACAGTGTTTAATTCTGTGTTGTTACGAAAACAGTGATTGTGGTAAATCACATCTATATGTTTGTGTTAAAGGGTATGATATTCAGAACAAGCTAAACAAAGTTAAAACAAAAAGAGGCAGAGAGAAAATCATCAGTATTCTAATGTTGTACATTCTGAAAACCAGGAAATATTCTTATTTTTGCTATAATGTTTAATCACTGTCTGTACAGTGCCAGCAATGTACATACCGATAAAAGATGAAAGGCAGGCCTGCTGTTGCCAAGTGCCAGAGTGAATGAGCGTCAATAACCCACAGAAAGGGTGGAAAATCCATCAGTTCAAATATCATACATACTCCAACTAATAACACAAAGAGAGCACAACGCCACACATAGGGCTGACTTTTCCGGTAGTAGAAACACCATATAAACCAACCCATTGCATTTGCAATACCTGAAAAAGGTGGATAAATAGCTTGTACATGTATACATAACAGGGTTTAATCAATGACTTGTATACTATCTTATACATAATACATATGGCAAACCATGTGAATCTGTAGATCACTGAAGAGAACGACACTGCAGTACATGTAGTACATGTAGATTTAGTACCACGTGAACTTAAGTGTACATTTTCATGACAAATTCCAATTAGATATCATTCACTCGTTAATGAACCAAATAACTAAACTAAACACTTTGGTGAAGAGCCAGAAAATGTAACAGGCCCCCATAGTCTTTATCTTGGATCACTGGTAATAGTCGATATTAAAGAACTGAGTCAAAACCTTTGTAAATATTATGTAACAAAACTAGGGTAATTTTTTTGTATCTGATTACTGAAGTTCTTAATATGTACTGTATACAGACAATGGAAACATAACGTACCGACAATTATGTTTGCCTGCATGTTATACCCATAGTCAAAATTAACTAGTGCCAGGTATGTGACATGATGAACAAAAAAGCCAGCACACAGGAAACTCAAAATTACAATCATGATTCGACTCTGTCCATTCAGTAATCTGTAAAGGAAAGTACATTTTTCAATGCTGAAGGAATACTTTGAGTATAATAAACACTACAGTTTATATTTAACACTTAAAGAAATTACACTATTGAGAATGAAAGCGTGTAACAATCACCTAACAACCATTGCATAAAAAGAAAATAAGACAGTTGAGAAAGCAGAAAAATAATCCATCATCTCAGTAAATGGCGTGTCTCGTGTATGGAAAACACTTGACCAAAACCAGCAATTTAAACACACCTGAAAAAACAAAACACAAATATTAGAGTATATTAACAGATATGATTTTGGTCTGTTTATTGGCAAGTTGGATTCAGAAACATACCATTGCATATGCATGCCACAACCAGTACATGGGACTTGTCTTTCGAACTTCTCTCCGAAACTGTTTCAGCATCATACAGTGGGCTATAAAGTTGAAAATTGAGAAAACAACTGATGCAGGCTCCTGGATACCAAGAATTCTAGTAAAGGGCCACTGAAAGAATAGAAACACAATATGTAAAAGAAATGTGTATCAAATGTCTGAAGACAGAATGCAATTTTTATCTAAGAAAGATCTAACATGGCAGGCTGTGCAGATGTGAAATTTCTGATTATGTTTGTTGTAAGGCAGTGAACTAATATTTAAAGATATATAATTATGATAAAGATTTCCTGGATGTTGGCAATGGTTCGGCAGTAATTTGGTCGACCTACGAATGGTAGTCCCTAGAAGCTTCTTGCAGGATACCCTGTTGAACACACAGAACTTTTCTTCCACTACACAAGGTAGGACGGAACTGCTTTGGTATGCTGGTCGCTCTAGACAAAGTCTGTGTGTTAGCTAATTAAGTCTGGTAACAGAACCCGAAGATATGAAACTACAGAAAGGAATATAATAATTCCAGACATTCACCATGTAATGTTATGTAACAGATTTGATCAATGCATTGCCAGGCAACAGCTCTATAAACACAGTCCAACACATAACAGTAGCGGAAGCTGTGTTTCCTATAGATCTGACCGATGTGCCAGTAGACTGGCTGGAGAGCGATCACACGATATGCATTTACTGTAGATCCATGTCCATTCTGCGGCTATATAAGTAAGTGGCAGAATTCGTCCAGGGTCATTATGAGTTACAAATAGTACGTAGTATTGGCAGAAGCATGCAAACAAGCAAGCCAGTCAGTTCTCGATAGGAGACAGCCACAGGAAGTTCGTAGTTTAAGAAGAATTAGAAGTTGGCCTGTAAAGACTTAAAGCGTGATTAGAAGACTATAGTTATGTGTAATATGTGGAGTCTGTAATTCGGTGAGACTGTTATAGTTCCCATGTTATAAATCTATGAAGACTAGTGCAGATAGACTGAAAGGATTAGCGTGGAGTGTTTGTAAATTGTGTGAAGCAGTAATAGTGTAACAATTAATTGTAGTTACGACCTGTAGGTGGTTAATAAGTCTAATTACCAATCTGAACCCCGTCTTTAGTCACTGATACACGTGATAGTTACATAATTACCTTGCCATGAAACTGGGGAATGGCCCAGTTCCTGTTGCTGAAAGCCTCAACTGTTTTCCACATACAGTCATAGCAACATTCATCATGGCATGACCATTTAGTTAACTGGAGGTACAAAGGTTGGGCCTGAGCACCATATGATGAATGGAAATTCACACCACCTAAAAATGTATTTGAATTATTATCCATTATTAACTTATACATCCAGTTACGCCTCTATTTTTAAATGAATACTAATATATAGCTTTTTTTTTCTTTGGCACTACAGCCCCAATTTGGGCCTTGGCCTACCTCATGAAATTCTCAGTTTCACTTCGGTTTACTAGATCTTTGGCATTTGGTAGGACTCCTTGGGCGGGTGATCAGCTCATTGCAAGGCCTCTACCTGCATACAAACATAGAAAAACGCATGCGCATACACACACACACACACACACTCTCTCTAAACATCCATGCCGAGTGGGATTCGAACCCACTATTCCGGCTTTCAAGCGAGCGAAGGCAGTGCATGCCATACATCGCTCGCCTACTATGCCAGGTGAAACACAATTACAAAATAATGTATAGCATTGGCATTCATTGGGGTACAGCCACATATTCCTTTATATCTGTTGAACTACCTGGCACATAACTTCACACACAGCATGACAAGCTTCCCACTACATTTCCTGTAGTATGTATGAAATCAAATTTCATAGAAGGTTGAAACATCATTCAAATAACTTCAATTCTATGAAAAAAACTCCATATCTAGAGGCACACTGAATTAAATTCAGAAAACAACTGCTTCATTTTCACTGCTCACTCAGGTATCTGATCACCTTGGATTAGTGCTTTAATATGAATATATTACAAAATGGGACTGAAGGAACAGTGTGATCTTCAAGGAACAACACAACCCCACACAATACAATTCTGACCCCCTCCATTTTCCATACAATATTTCTAGCTGAAAGCATTTACCTTTCTGACCAGCATGTATTCAGTGTTTCAGAATACCAATCAAGGAATAGTTCAACTTAACTACCATGGCTTCATACTTTTGAGACTAGTATATGTCCTTGCTTTAAAGAGGCAGTATGTTCCTGTGAAATGTTAGTACCAACCTGCCAGATTACTTCACGGTGTCATAACCCAGAAGAAAATTTGAACTCTTTCTCTATTCGCCATTCTGTTATTTCATGCTGTATTATTCTTACAGCTAAGAAATACACCAAGACACAACTAAGACCACATTATATGGTTCAAATTTGCAGTAATCAGATTCAGAAATATATGAACTGCCAAATACTTGGTTCAATGAGGAAAAACATATCTAAGAATGATTAACATCAGTGCAGGAGATACATCAGTAGTTCTAACAGCTCCATTTTATTTAGTTTTGGTTTGTGGTTAGGATATAGTATGGAAGGAACTGGAAAACAAAATACCAAACCTTCTGTGCAATTAGCTGTCGAGCACTTCTCAACACATGCCCGATAGTATGGAGACCTATCCCCAACAGATGCACTTGTACTTCTTACGGCGATTACTACTATAAGACACAATACAACACGACTACTTAACATTGTTTTTGTCACTTCAGGTAGTTAAAAAAGTAAGGTTATCGTCAGTCTTAAAAACACACTAACGTGTGACTCAAACCATGTGTTAGCTGTAAAGAGCAGAAAGACAACGCATTAAGTGCCATTAACATCTCCACCCTCCATCAAAACACAGAACACGCCTGTCATCCTTCCGCTGTTCCCAAGGTTGTCAACTGTCATTATCTTGAAGATCTGAAACATCTCAAACGGCCTGCAGAATCTGAATCATCTGAATGATCTGAAAGGTGCAGCCAACACAACGCAAAACACGCCTGTCATCCTTCCGTCTGTCATTATCTGAAACATCTCAAACGGGGTGAAAGAACTGAAAGGTGCAGCCAACACTTGTTACACGGCTCGACTTTCAATATCCGTTCATAGAACATCGAAGTTCGCGTTGGAGGTATGCTACTCATTTTTAAATTCTGTTTGTACAGTTAAACACCGAGTGTGCAATATTATACAAAAACTGATTACTTGTGCATATGCCTTGTTTTCTGTGGTAATGATTTCACATGTTGGTTGCTTGGGTCAGTACAAGTGGTACAGGGACATTTTCAATTAATGCATTTTTAAATATGTATGTATGGATTGTTGAATGATAATAAAAATGAAATGAAAATATTTATTATATCTCGAATTGCTTGAACACTATGAATGTATTATCATTAATTAATACTTAGTGATTTACACAAAGACATTTTTATTTTGTCGCATTATATAGTTTTAAACCATGCATCATTCTACCACGCGAATTGTGCCACTGGCGCATGGCGAGACGCATGGTTTGTATCATATCGTGAGGTTGTCAGCGCCGTCAGCCTAAGGCGCCTAAGGGGCCTAAGGCCCGTTTCACACCAAGCCAGTCCCGTTACGCCCAGACCAGTCGAGTCTGACGCTCTTAGCGCTCTTAGCACTTGGACACAGCGGATTCAGCACGCGGTATCACAAACGTCAGAAAGAAATACATTTGTTATCGAGATTGATCATGCGCTTGCACACCGAACCAGTCGCGTCCGGTCATACAGCGGGTCCGTGACTCAGGGGAGGTTAAATTTTCTTCCAGGCGTGGTCCCTCATTTGTGCTGATACCGTGGATGTCGAACGTCTTTGAGTATTAATCGTGGATGTAGAACGTCATATTTTGTTGGTGCGAGATCGGCGTGCAATTTATGATCCACAAGAGGCAAAACATAGAGACCGCAATTTCATCAGCAGTTTGTGGAAGGAAATAGCCGAAGAACTAGCCACAGATGGTAAGTATGATATTTTATTAATTTATTTTGTTTTCAAGAGGCTAAAAATTATTATAACACAGCTAATTGTTGTGTCGTTGACACACAATCTGAAATCGCCAAACTTCAGACACTTTCAGATAACTGACAAATGCAGCTAATGGATAGTTCTCCGATAAAAGAGCCCACAGACCTATGAGCCTGTTTTCTGGCTTCCGCCTCAATGAAATAATGAAAAAATTACATACAAAACGGAAAAATAATTTCTTTTTAAATTATATCGTCCCCTTGAAGTAAGCAGTTTATTTCTTGTTTCGATTGCTTCTGTGTTTCATGAAATCGAGAAGTAGGCAGTCAGTTTATTTCTTGTCACGATAGCTCCTGTTCCTCCCCTATGAGCTGGTGTTGGCCTCAGACTTATAAGAGGAGGAACATTGGTTTGTTCTAAGAATTCTCTCTCCACGTTTCGTTCTGCCACTGCCGTGTATAATTATGCCATACACATGCACTTTTTCTTGAAGCATCAGTTAACTTTAAACTTGTTGATATAGAATGTGAATGTTTCCCCTGTTGCCAAGTATCTGAAATAAAGCAAAATATCTGTGTTGATATTTAAATGTGCAATATTATTATTATTATTATTATTAAACAATATTGACAACACTTTGTAGGTTTTAGTCCCTGTCATTTTATTTCATTAACAAATCTATATTTGAAGTCTTTATTTCTATTTCAGATGCTGCCATGAAAAATAAATGGCAAATTTTGCGAAGCAACTATGTGCGAGAGAAGAGGAAGTTGAAGAGTCTGCCATCAGGCTCTTGAGCACAAAGCTAAAAAACAACATGGCCTTTTATGGAATCCATGAATGTCTTGGACCAAACACTTAAGGCGAGGGAAATGTCCGGGAATGTGCCTAGTGATACCCTTCTAAGGGATGACAATGACAAACAGATTACTGACGAAGAACAACCAGAAGCTTCAGTAACGAAACTCCAGTAAGTACTAAGCGAGGAGGCAAAAAAAGAACACATGAAGCTAGTGATGTGGATGAAATGTACCTGGAGCATCTAAACAAAATGGCTAAGAGGGCAGAAGATGACAATGACCCAGACCTGATGTTTCTGCGAAGTTTACTACATTCGATAAAGCAACTTTCAGCACTTAAAAATTTAGAATTTAAAGGAGAAGTTATTAGTGCACGAAAACAAAAATTGCATTTCAGTCAAAATTATCCATATCACACTGGCATGTTGTCTGCCTCCTTAGTTTCCAATCCATATTCCCCTGGTACAAATTCTTATCAATCTGCCCCTACTCCGACTCCAACATTCACCCAGGATCATAATCCTCCTATAAATGATGTTACTTTTCAGATGTAAAAATGCAAATGCAGAAAATATTAATTTAGCAATTAATGCAAATGATGTCTTTGTTATGTAACATTACTCTTCAAATGTAAAAAATCAGATAAGTAAACAGATAAATTTAAAATGATAAAATTTCTATTTTTCATTCTTATTTGTTCTCTTACCTTAAAAATATTGCCAGCCTCTGTTCTGAAGAAATGGCTTCCTGTAATTTGTTCTTTGCTTGCTCACTTCATCAACAATCATACTGTGCACTGTGAAAAAGATATTAGAGCTCATTCTGAAATAATTGTAGAATTTCTTTTTGTCATTTAATAAGTCCGGAAATAGATGACTGAATGATCCGAACATAGGTCGTTTCATATTTATAGGATGTACCCAAAATCTATGTCGCTGAAGTCTTCACCTTCTCAACCTTCGAATTATTATTGCACTTAATACGGCATCCATCTTCACAGATACTTCCCAAAAGACTGTTGATGATTTGATTTATTCAGCGTGAAAGCTTTTGACTGGTTTGACTTGACTGATCTAGACATGATGGGACTGGCTTACTGTGAAACGGGCCTTAGGGGTGGTGTAGGGTGTTAATGTTGGTGGTGGAAGCATGTGGTGAATAAGTAACAATGAACCAAGTTGACAATTTTGTATGCAGTTTATTCCTCTGGAGCCTGCAATTTTATACATGTTATTACTGGTTGTCAACATTTTTATATGCAGAATGAATTTTAATATCTTCGTGTACACACCAACTTTAGGTAAGACCGCAACCAGGGGAATCATTAACATGATCATATCATTTATTTGTATTCCATTAAGCTGAAGCAAAGATATTAGGAGAGCATGAAAATTAGCATAATACCGGTACACTAGTGTCAGCATTATTCAAGTTGTTGGCATTAAGTTAATCGTTACATTATATTCATTATATTTAGAAAGAGTTGTTTCAGTACCATTACATTTCGCCCTTCCTATGGTATGTTGTGGAAATAGCCATACAAGAAAAGGTATACTGTGTGAGTTTTGACATTTAATTTGTCCTTATATATGGTATTAGTTAATTCTGTGATGGTCTGTGTTATATAATGAGGCCAATATGGGGCCATAATTTTCTTAAAAATGGCCTAAATTGGTACTAGTTCAGGTTATTTGTGACTGCCCATTAAGTGACTTATACTCACCAACTTTTGTTTTAATATTTATTTTTGTCCTATTAGCTGGCCATTATTCTTCTCACAATAAAAAAACATAATTCTAAATTTTGATCATACTTGCATTACTCATTAGATCTGTTTTGCATTAGCAACCTGTGTGGTCATGGCAGAAAATCTCTTTTGATGGTGAATGGGTGGAAAATTGGATTTAATTACTACCTTCATTTACATCCACCTGGTGCAACTGAAGAAAGAAAATCTTCAGTTCCAAGGGCAGGGATACCAGACATAGCAGCATGTACATTATTTACATAATTTATGTAATTTGTATCACCTGAGTTATTGTACCATGTGAGTTATATGGCACATTGATTGTCATGTTAAATAGTTCAGATTTATGCATGCTTTGTTTGTGTAATTTTATGGTTTAGTGCTTGTTATTCAACAAATATCACTGATTCACCATCTTACATGCAATGCGTCCTTATAAAACTCATTAAAAAGTTTATTACATCACATAATACATCTTTTTAAACCTAATTTTAAGTTTCTGTACATTGCACTGCATGTTTCAATTGACAATGGTCATCATCAGGTGTTTAAAATTGTTGGTGAAAACTGCTGTGCTTCTGTTTTGTGGCTCTAATATTTGATGTGTAGTCCCATCTATGCGCTTGTGTATACTGTGGTGCTGGGTGGCCCTTCCTGTTGTGTTGTGTGTCTAGACTATAAGTGTTTGCTGAGTCAAAGTCAAAGCCAGTCAGTTTGTCTTGGCACCAAGCCAAGTATGAAAGAAATTATTTCTCCATGAGACTGAACCTCCACATGAACTGTGTTATGGCAACTTTATTCCACATCCAACCTTTTTATTATATCCGTCACAACACAACTAATATCAAGATCAGACCATTTTCGGCCCTGCTACATGTTTTTGCTATTGATCCATCATCAGGCAAACACATGATTTACACACATATACACACTACTGAACCACAGCACAAACAAGATTGGATACAATATTATTAAAATATGTAAAAACACTTGATATAAAAAATACAAAAATCATTTATATGAAACAGAAGTATGATATAAAATAAGAATAAAATTCTTTTGGTGTTTTTACATCAACATGTCAGTCATTTGTTTGTGATTTGTTTTTTGTTTTGTTCCCACGAACAAGTTGGAATATTCATACTTATGCGTATATATAATTGTGTATGAGGCTCGTAATGTAGATGTAGTAAAGTAAATTATAATATTAGTCAATGCCTCATCTCTCAAAGTATTGTCCATACTGTAGGGAAGAGTTGTTGTTTACATTCCCTACAGTATGGACAATACTTTGTGAAATGAGGCACTGACTAATATTATAATTTACTTTACTACATCTACATTATGAGCCTCATACACAATTTTACATACGCATAAGTATGACTATTCCAACTTGTCCGTGGGAACGAAACAAAAAACAAATCACAAACCAACGACTGACAGGTTGCTGTAAAAACACCAGAAGAATTTTGTTCTTATTTTATATCATATTTCTGTTTTATATAACTTGATTTTTGTATTTTTTATATCCAATGTTTTTATATATTTTAATAATATTGTATCCAATCTTGTTGGTGCTGTGGTTCAGTAGTGTGTATATGTGTGTAAATCACGTGTTTGCCTGATGATGGCTATCAATAGCCAAAACATGTAGCAGGGCCGAAAATGGTGTTTGTGAGGCTCACCTGTGCAAGCTGAGAAGGGCACCATCACCCTGTGAGCATGCGTTATTGTAGTCCTGCCTTTGCCTTAAACATTTACTGCTGATGTTATAATTAAACTGTAGTTGATCTGCATAAAATAACTGTGTAAAGATAACTTCAATATCAAATGTGATGTGATCTAAGTTCTATATGAAGACAATAAAACTTGGTTATTATGCAGGTGTTGGGAGATAGAAGACAGGCATTATTGGTAACCTGCAGTATATTGGTAACTTTCATGAGAAATAGTATTGTTTAATGTGAAAGTTTTTATTTATAAGAAATTTAGTATCAAATTACAATAAAAATTATATATAGGTTTAAATGCATGCCTTATTTATTTGGTGTTTTTAAAATAGTCAAATATTTTCTTTTGGCATGAAAGCTGATGGCATTTCTTCATCACAGCTCACTTTTTTTGGAAATGTAACAGACGAAGATGACCACTATCGCTCTATCTTTCCATCCAATTCATTACTTCACTGATGCTATCGAATACTTTGCTAATTTTAGGGGGTTCAAGCTTGCACATTTCTTCATTCATGCTGTCATCTTCCAATAAGTATTCTGCTCTTCTGCAGTTCGGTGTCTGCCTAGCAGATCACCGATCATATGCAAGGTCAGATTAGTCAGAGTGACCAACTAGACACGACTGTTTAAACAAAGTTGTTTAAGAAGAAAAAATCAAAGTAAAATTTGAAACAGAGTTGTTTAAAAAGAAAAAAAAATGAATCATTTTGGGACACATGACTAGATCTGCAGTATATCCAAATCCACCGTACAGTGAGGCACATTATGACAATTTTACTGTACTTACATTGCCCTTTTGAATACCTACAAACTAATACCCTGATGTGAACCTCTGCATGTAGAACTGCATATTATAAAAGCAATGTAATTTAGATCTCCGTATTCCTTTTTATATTGAGCCATACCCCATTCTCAGCTTTAAGAAATGTACTGAATTTGCTAAACTTAAGAGGTACATCAGTCTTCATTGATGGCTGTAAGCAGAAATCTTTGATGAGATGAACCATTGCTATCTTCGTGGTCATGAGAGCAAAACGTGTACCTGAGAACAGAAACAAATTACCATCCTAATATTAACACACAACACTGTATTTTTATTCTTGTAGTTTCAAGTATGTTGAAAATTCATAGCTAGCATAGGTATTATCATCATTTTCTCAAGCTGACTCAGTACAAATTGCTTCTAACTCATTCTTAGAATGGCTATCTAATTCTTAGATCTGGCTATCCTGTTTTGTTTTTCTGAGGTCCTCAGTGTGTTTGTCAGTTGTACTGAGAGTTTCAGAATGAAGTTTGCAGTTTATTCATTCATGTTACATGAAGGAAAACACTAAATGCTACATAGCAAACAAATTAGCCCATTGGATGTTTGCTTCAGTTTTAGGAAAAATGTACTTTCTTATTAGCGAACACTTAACAGGTTTTGGATTCAACGGAAGTTTCTTATGAAAATTTAAAGACGTCTGGATAGTTAGAAATAATTCTACTTTTCCTTTCATATATATATATTATTTATTATACTGCAATTGGGTTTTAGCCCAATGGCAGTAGTACACAATAGGACACAACAGACAAGTAACACACATTACACTAAGTGACAACATGTTCAAACAAAACACAATACACAAAACACAACAATAAGGACATCCTACCACAGTGAATACAAACCAAATAAGATTAACAACTACAACAATTACAGAGAAATACAAACAACTGCAACAAATACAACAACAACAAGGACATCCTACCACAATGAATACAAACCAAATACGATTAAACTCCAATAACTGAGAATAAATCAATATATTTATTCTGACATATACAGGGTATTTCACAAGCCATCTGATACGCTCTGGGAGGTGCTTAGTGAAAGATATTACTGGAACACTGGTTCTATTTCCTATCATTGAGGAGCTGTGGATTTTTTAGGTGTGCGCTGGGGGAAATAAATGCAGTGATGATGAAATGGACAGGGCATGTAGCATGCACAGGAGAGATTAATACATACAGGATTTTGGTGGGAAAGCAAGAAGGAAAGAAACCAATGTAGGTGGGAAGATAATATTAAAATGGATCTTAGAGAAATAGAGTTGGGTGGTAAGGACCGGGTTCATCTGGTTCAAGATAAGGACCAGTAGTGGACTCCTGAGAACATGGTTATGAACCTTGCTGTTCTATAAAATTTTGGTACTTTCCTGAGTAGCTGAGTTCAGGAACTTTTTTATTCTTATATAAGCAGCAGCATTCATAATTTGATGCAAGAGTTCCACTCTCTTCTGTCCTTCAGTCTTCTAGACCGTCTCTTTCATAAGACCTCATAAAATGAAAACAAATGGGTTTAGGTGTGGAAATCTCAGTGGCCAAGTCACTGGATCAGAAGGACAGGTCTATTGATCCCTGTGACACTGATTCAGGTAAGCCAAAACTTAACCAAAATGTGGAGGCACTCCATCAGACACATCCTCCATTCAAAGATAATTGGCAGCAGCTGAACATTGTTCCAAAATGAATGAAACCATCACCAGCATTTCCAGTTATAAAATTTTACAGAAATCAACTGAAACTGTCACCAGTGTTGCCATGTATCAAATTTCACAAAAGCACTTTTATTTTTCAATCTTAAACATCTGTAGCTCCTAAATGGTTAGAAATAGGACCAGTGTTAATAGATGTTTTTACTTGGCATTAATCCTAAAGTATGACAGACCAATTGTGAAACATATAAGAAGGTAAATGCAGAGTACATTATCAGGAGTAAAATCTAAGGTACTGTGTAAGTATAAGTAAGTAACGTTCCCACCTCATGACTCAAGGTACATAGGCTCAAACCCGGTGGAGGTCGTGGAATTTGTAAGGGCGGAAAAATTCAGGGAACAAGTCCTCCAGGAGGGACTTTAAGCCGTGGGTCCCTTGTAGTAGATTTACAGCACATAAAAAATCCTCATGTCTCTAGGAGACCTCTGAGCAAAATTAGGTAAAAAGTTTCCCGCCCTAGTAGTTTCCAATGCCTCCGGTAGATGGGGAAGTATCGGGTACCACTGCCAGTAGAGGGGCCGAACTCGCTGGCTGAACAGGGCTGATAGCAAGCACCAGTACCGGGAGGGTATGGCGACTGGTAGAATATCAAAGGGGGACGTACAATAGATCAACAACTGGTCGCGGTGCATTGGAAAACCCACCCCCTCCAATAATGAATGAAGTATAAGTAAAGAAGTTAGCAGTGAATTCCAGTGTTATGAAGGGTAACCTTCAAACAACTGTAGTAAGTATTCTAGGGATACAAAATAGGATAAGGTCACTGTGACAGTTTATTTGCAGCTTTCTGTTCTTCATATATAACACTTATCAAACAGTGAACCAATGCCAATATGAGAGGTTACGTACTTTCCATATGAGATGGCAGTATGCCCATAAATGGCGAATTTGAAAGAATGTGTGAAAATACTGTAGTTGCCTGTTTTGGAATACTCTTTTTGAAATCTGCTGTATCACACACACACACACACACTAATGAATAAATTGAAATAAAACTTCTTCTTTAAGAATCTGAACCAAACATTCATGAACTTCAAAGCTGAGTACATAAATATTTATTAAAATCAGGAATAGGATATTTATCGACTAGATATAACCAGGGATAACATGAAAGAATGTACTGCAGTTAGGAGACTAGCCTGAAGCTGGAGGCAGTGCATTCATCTGAAATGTTGGTAATCACCTGTAAGGCTGTACAGGGTCATAACATGGAAGACCACAATCTAAATCTTTTCTGCCAGAAAAATTCCAAGCCTAAATTAGCATGCTTGTACTCATGAGTTTTAGTTAAAGAAAACACAAAATTTTGGCCACAAGTTATTCACTGCTTTTACAAATAAAAAGTGATCTTACCTATGCAGTTACGTGGTCCTGATCCAAATGGCAAGAATACATACGGGGACCTGGTAAGTTTTTGTGCAGGTGTGAATCTGTTGGGGTCAAACACCTCAGGCTGAGGGTAGTATTGAGGATCATGATGTAGCCCTAAGATTGGAATGCATACTGAAGTACCCACTTCTAACTCTATATTTGTGCCAGGAATGATGTAGGGCTGGGTACATGCCCTGTCAACTCTTGCCACAGGTGGATACTTTCGCAGAGATTCTGCAAAATCAAAGATAAATACATGAAAATTACTGTGAGAGTATGTTTAAAGTTACACATACAAAGCCTGGGTTTAAATTAAGTTGTTCAGAACTGACAGCATTCTTTTTAATAATACTGTCACATGATTGGGTGTGACTATAGATGGGGTTTGGATTGGTAATTGGATTTATTGAACACTTATACAGACAACTCATAACTACAAGTAACTATAGCACTATTGCTAATTCACACACTGCAATTCGCTGCAGAACACATTTAAGTCTTCTGAGCCTGCTGCCCTCACCAGTGAGGGAGACCAATGGGAGACGTTCCCCTCCCTCATGGTTCCCAAACTGTCCCTGTGCCTCAGCTACCAGCTTCTAACAGCAACAGCTCACAAGGACTGAACTGCAGTAGTCCTCTAAGTAACTCAGTCACTCACTCACCAACCAGCTCACTCCAGCACACTAACTCCCATGCTGGTGACCATCTCACACCAACCTCCTGCTCTTCTCACTGCCATCTCAAGACTTCCCTAGTCCAAGTCCAAGTCACATTGCAACTGACGGTCGGTCAGTCAGTCAGTCAGTCAGTCAGTCAGTCAGTCAGTCAGTAAGTCTTGGTGTCGAGCCCCAGATATTTATTACTGTTGAATGTTAGAGTTTTGTTTTTTGTGGGCTACCTCTCTGACGAGAGGGCGGGTCTTGTCTTTTTTACATGCTACTGGTCCTTTTCAGTGCAGTCTTTCTCGGGTCCAAGTCGCGACCGTATTTTACTGTCTCAGATTTGAGACTTCCCTTTTCGTCGCCTCCTACGACTCGCAGGGTCACGGTGGAGGTATTCGACCCCGCCTCCACACGGGACACTTCCCTAGTGGTAGCTGGCTCTTATTATATAGCCTCGGCATGGACCTAACAGAGGACACCACATTGTTCTGTGCATCTGTTGCAGCCATTACCTAGCAACGGCCATTGTTTACAGAGCCATTACTTAGCAATGGCTGTTGTATAGCCACTTATTTCATTGTCGTTGTCTAGCAATCGATCTACATGCCACAGTATATCTGAATAAAATGAATACGTCACAGCATTATTCCAGTCTATCAAAATAAATTTTTATATATGTATAAATTTCTTTTTCCATATAATCTGCTTCTTTTTTAATTAAGAACTGTGCTTGATTTAGAATAAATTAATTGTTCATGCCACTGACTTTAAAGTAAGATTTCCAATATATTTGGGGTTAGTGAAATTCCATACTGATTGATCCTAGAGGACTTGTGGGTTGTTAGATTCATGTTAAGTTTTCAGGATGAGCACAGTATATTGAACAAACCTAATAGAACCATCTCGAGATAGGTCATTTCCAGTAATGCTTCATATGAACAGTGACCTCCATATTTTCCCAGTACATCTTCTACCTCTTTACGTAATTTCTGTTGTATATCTTGATTTAGAGCCAGCTCATAGCTGGCATATGTAAGAAGTGTACTGGAAGTTTCAAATCCAGCTAGCAGGAACAACAGGGACTGGGCAATAATTGTTTCTTCATTCAGAACTGAAACAGAATGTTAAGGAATGTGAGTGATGTAAATAATTTGATTCTCAGTTTAATTATCTCCCAGGTTTGCTCCTCAGTTTTAACAAAACTGACTGCTGATTTGAAATCATCTCTCATTTAGCATATGACAGGTGTGTCAGTGACAAAAGTAACACCACAAAACCCCCAAAAATGTTACATGATAATGGGACAGTTGTAAGCTTCACTTGGCTTGGAATAATGGAGGGAAAACCACTAAATGTTGTGAATTCAAAATAAGCTTTACTTGTGACTACCTGTAGCAGATGTTTGTTTGGTGTCATTGATGTCTTGTTTCTCATCACTTCTTTCTCCTCTCTCTTGTGCAGCAGCATCAATCATCAATTGTAGGAAATCATTCCATTTCTGTTCTTTGTGTTGTCTGCGGTGTTCTACAGTCTTCTTCAAAACATCCACTAGAAAGGCCATTGCCTAGAAATTGTGAGAATGTTGCACCAAGAGTTGAGAACCTTCTTCCAAGTGTTTGTTCTGATTTCCCTTCAGTTAAGATGTAAATATTTGGATTTGTTGCAAAAATAACACTAATTATGATGTTAAACATGGGTTTGAAACCTCGTTATCTTGTGTTGGTTATGCTGCCCTTCAGTAGTTTTCTACTTCCATTGCTATTTATGTGAGCAATTTACTGATTACTCAGTAATTATTACCAGTATTATCAAGAGTAATTACCTTAGTTGATGTAACATTGTTAAATGACTAAGCAATTAGTAAATTATTTGAACTGACAGGTGGGAACAAACACATACATAAATAAATCATTGTTTGTATTATATGGAATAACAGTTGGAATACAGAAGGCTAATATTCAAATTAAGATTTTGCATTCAATTGATATGAGCTGGCATATGTGTCAAAATACCATAGGAGTGGCTGAATGCTCATGTAATTATCCTGCTCAAGAAGAGAAAGTGGAGTCCATATGTATCTGACATCCCAGCATTTACTTGATGGGACTGAGGAAAACAACAGGAAATGTCAGAATAGTAGGTGCCACAACCAAGATTTGGACCAGGCATTTCCCAAGTATAAGTTTAGAGCATTATTGCTAGACCAACATGCTCAGTGGAAAGGCAGTTTAATAGAAACATAAGGCTTAAATACATATATCTACACAGTTCTCTAACATTTGTTGTGATCAGGTCTCAACTCAGGCAACTTGGAATACAGTAAACCTGCTTCATCTCTATTCATTCAGGAATCTGACATCCCATTAGTTTCTTCCCTTTAGCACAGTTACATCATGGAGGTGAACATAATGAGATCTTTGCATTATTGATTCTCCTGTCCGTGAAATGCAAGCAGGCTGATTTTTGTATAATGATAAATGCTGTAGCTTTAGAAGCTTGTATCATTGCTCACTGAATGCCAGTTTTCATATCAAATAGCAAAAAGCCTCGTGGACATGGATATGCAGATAGAAGAGCTGCACAAAATTTGATCTCAGTGAGATGGGTTGGTAATTTTACCATTTTGAATAATGCCTCTACTGTAAGCAGCGTACAGACTAGGACTCAGACCACAAAAGTACTTACACTGAGCGTTTTTAATTGTTTTGATCTTTCTCAATGATAAAAATGTATAGACTGAAACTTACCTGCCTATTGACACCTCTGATAGGAAAGAAACGAGCATATTGGCGACAAAATAAAATGACAAAGAAAATTAAGAGACGGTTAAGGAGAGAGATATCATTAAAGCGGGCTGCAGTCTTCACAAACTCAGCATTTCTGTCTTTAAGAGAATCACACTGTACTCCAAAAGCACAAGTTGCAATAACATCCAGTGTGAAGCGACCAAACAACTCTTTCATCTCCAGTTCTGTGCACTTATCATCTCTGTTCTTGTTACCTGCTGAAGACAAAAACAGTCATAAAAGATAACGTACCTAAATATATGATTTTAGAGGAAAAGAATATGCCAGCTTTAACCAGTTTCCATAGATAAGGTTTGCTGAATCTCCTGACAAGAGGGCCATTCTTCAGTTCTCTGTAGTTCATTTACAGATACAACACAATATTAGGGGCACAGAGAGAAACAAATTAGCTAAAGTGGTGCACAGGTGGTACATACTCCTTATTCTTGCCACAGCCTCAGCTGTGTTTCCTTATATTTAATCAAGCATATGTTGCGACAGCATTTTGAAAATGTCTTCACTTGCTTCTGTTATACAATATGTGACCGAACATTGGAGATAATCTTAAAGTCACTGAAATACATGTATATTATATTCTTTGATCTAAATTTATTTTTATATTATTATTTAAATAGGAGTCAGGATAGCTTAGTTGGTATAGTGATGGGCTATGGGCTCGATGACCAGGATTCAGTTCCTCTCAATGGCCTGACTTTTCTATTCTCCATAGTGTCCAGACTCACCCAGCCTCCCATCCAGTGAGTACCACTGGCTCTTTCCACTGGGTTAAATTGGTCACTCACCTCCATCTCTTACTGAGATGAAGAATGGTGGAGCTATACCTCCACTCCCACATATATCTTCATGGTATAGTGCTCAATTAATTAGGCATAGCAACAACTTCATGAGAAGAGTTTCACTTATGTAACTTAATGAAGTACTAAAGAATAATTTAAATATTTTTTTAGACTATAGCATGATCACAGTTTATGTGAGGGAGATATTCCTGTATACCCTACATAATCCAAGACAAGTTTTCCAATAGGAATAAATTATTATTATTATTTAAACTTTGTGCATAAAGTGAGGCTTTAGTAATATTTTTTACATTATCATACTATTTCAAATTTACATAAAATGCAATCCTTTATAATACAAGGAAAGAAAGGCTTACAGTATTTTGTCAGTCAGTCCATCTATGCCCCTCTAATAACGTTTAACCAGCTTACATATTGTCATGTGCATGTGTGACTATAGACAGGGTATGGATTTATTGACAACTTATACACAACAATTGGAACTACAAGTAATTACAGTGCTATTGCTGATTCCACACTTCACAAATCATTACACACTAAGTCTTCTCCAGCCTGCTATGTTTTTATCAGCTGACTGGGTCATCCCAGTTAACTTCAAAATAAGTACTTTGCGCGGACCAAACATAAATCACCATTTCCAACAATAACTCTATTGTTGTAGGGGCGTGTTTACTATGCCGATGCATAGCAATGGCTGTTGTCTCATTGTTTGTTTCAAGGTCTTTGCCTAGCAATGGGACCATATGCCACATTACTTCCTCTTTAAGGCTATTCATATCCTACAGTTGTACACCATTTCTTCTCTTCTGAGGATTGTGCTTGCAATGTCTGTACTTGGTCTCATCTCAGTTTTTCGCATTGTTTATTCTCCAACTGTTCCCACCACTCCCTCCCAAGCGGCTCCCTGATGGGGTGCCAGTCAGTCCAGGTTTATCATCATTTTGCTTTTCTGACTGGTGGAGGCAAAAGTTTCGAGAATGGTCAATGCTCCTATATCTAAGGCTCTTAAGCTGTTGTCACTGGTTTCTTCTTTCATTTCAGAGGGGGCTGACCCCTCCACAATGTCCTGATGCTCACTTTCTGCAATATTAATGGAAGTCCTGGCTGTTTTCTTTGTGAACTCCAACTCATGAGTTTGTTCACAGATCTCATATAATGTCTCCTTGCTCCCAAGATGTGGCTCTTGTCTCCTGCTTCGTCCTCTGATTCCACTGCTGGTTGTCCTTTCCTTCTTCAGATGTAGCTGCTCCTTAACATCTCAGTCCCTTATTCCATTGCTGCCTTCCTGGTGCGTCCTTTCAAGCATTTGTCCTTTAGGGGATCCTCTTGCAACATTGTCCCTGCATGGTTCCTGATGACCAGGTCCTTTACACTATGCAGGAATGGTAGGGCAGGTCATCTCTCTGCAGACAGTGGCCAACTTCTTCCAGGTCCAACCACTGCCCTGGGTCTGTTTCTTCAGTTGACCACAGCACCTTACAGCTAGATGTTGGTCTGCAGGCTGGTCCTTCATAGCTCTGATCATCTCCACTGCAACTTCTTCTTTAGAGACTTCCTCATACACCACTATGGACTTAATTTTCTCTGGATTTGCCTCCCATGGCTTCCCATCTTTCCTAGACAGGCCTCCATTTTCTTTAGCTGGAAGTCCATCTTGGCCATCATCCTTTCTTGATGGTCTTCCATTTTGGCCATTATTTCTTCTTGGTTGGTTTTTATGTCTTCTTTCATTTCCCTGAGATTGGCATCCGTCTTTTCTTGCATGGTTTCAGGAGTTCCATCATTGTTCCATTTTTGTAGTATGGAGGTACAATTATCAAGATCCAATGCAGCGTCTAATCCGACCACTTCTGACTTCAAATTGTCACTTGTATTTTTATATATAGATGGGTTATGGATTGGTGAATGAATGTGTTGGCCACTTAAACACCCCATTCGGAACTACATATAATTACAGCACCATCACTGATTTCCACACTACAAATTACTACATGCTAAGTCTTCTCCAGCCTGCTGTGTCTTCATCAGCTGTTCCCCAAGAGTCGCTTCTAACAGTGGGGGTTCTTCAGCTTCACGTGCTCAGGTCCTATCTTCACAGCCTACCATGCAGAACTCAACTCACAAATGATAACTAACTGGGTCGGCCCAATTGTCTTCAGGATAATTCCTTTGTACGGACCAAGCAGGAAACACCATTTCCAGCAGTAAGTCTATTGTTCTAGAGACATGAAAGTGTTGAAAGGAAGCAATTATCATAAGTTCTTTGCAGAACCTTCTGTTTATTAACATCTTCATCATCATCATAATCATCATTGGCAGAACGCCCCTTTTGGATCATCACTTTCCTTAGATGATTGGCAACTTGTCTATTCCATAGCAAATCAAGTTTTCACTTATTTGGATTTTGCAACAGTAATTTTTTACAAAGTAAGGTCATCAACCTTGTACACAAACCTTAACCTAGAGGGCCAGGTCTCTGTATTCAGCCAGTATATGGCAAACAATCAATGTGTATCAGCAAACCTGTTGAAATTCGTACATCTATCGATGTATTGTACAATTTGTCCTTAGGCTAAAACTGTGCCTCTGAGTACCCATAAAAGTGTTCTTATATAAGCAGTGTTGAAAACTACCCTTATTCATATTATGGTCTTCTTGGTTACAACACTATATAGTTTGATCACCTGCTGGACTACATGGTGACAGATTCCATAAGACCACATAAGAAAGAAAGAAAGAAGAAAAAAAAAAGCTATCCCTGTACCAGGCCGTGAAGGCCCATAGGGTTGTGAGACGTTGAGGGTCCCACCCACACTATCTAGACAATCGGCTCAAAGATGGCGGTAAGGTTGTCAGCCTTACAAGCTGGCTGCGCTTTACTCCCAAGAAACATTATTTAATTGATTCCTGGTACTCAATTCTGTTAGAGGCTGAGTGAACCCCAGAGCCTAGTGCAGCTGGAAGGATTAGGTCAACTGAAAAAAATCCACTGACCTCATCAGGACTTGAACCCGCGACCTTCCGGCTTGTAGCATAGCCCCTCAACCAACTATGCTACCGTTTTTTTTTATTTCCTGGACTACATGGTGGCAGATCCCATAAGACCACATATGTATCAAAACTACACTGAAAACCTAAACTCATAAAAACCCATAGTGTCTACATTTTAAACGAAACTGTGAAGATAATTTTAAATGCATACATCTTTAAAGTGAATTGTTTGTGATTTTCTATATTTCAACACGTTGCTTTATTAATGATACAAATCTGGTGTTTCAGAGTTAATCGCAATACCAGAATAATGTTATTTTTTCTTGTATTTCATTATATGTAGTATACATATATAAGGTTTCAAATACAAGTTGTAAATCATAACAATGTGTATGATTTTGTGCACCAAGTTTTTGTACAGTTAGCCACTTTCTGTAAAGGTGTTAAATTTCAGCTTTAACTTTGTGTTATTATCAGACCAATATAAATCAAAATTAAATTTGCTTAGCAACTTTAATGTATTCCATTTGGCACAAAATTTCTCCAATGTGTATTAAAAAGCACTGGACATGAAACACATGAACATAAGACAGCATGTGCATAGACTCCCCATTATACATTCATTTCACACTCTTCATGCCAAGAGTGTGTAATAAACTTTACTGCAAGTATCAGGAGTAATGTTCTTGTTAATTCCATCAGTAACAAAGCAACTTGCTTTGTCAGTCCTAAAGATGCTGATGATAGTGAATATACATTATTTACTTTCATTTTGGAGAAATGTTCCAAGTTGCTGTCCACATTGTTCCACCAAAATCTCCATGGCCTTGAGTTTCCCTGAACTGAATGTGGGTGTCATTAAGGCTCTGAGATTCTTCCACTGTTGGCCCTTAATATTGATTAACATATTCTTGAAGTATGGAGAGCTTGACAATCCCAGTGTTGCACGATCCACAAAGTGCTCAAAATCACGTATCATTATAAGCTTGATGAGTTCTGGGTCACGTATCATTAATACTGGTTGACGCCCCTCATAGAAACCTGTAAAGGCATATTGAAGATAATGTGCAACAGACTTTATGAATTAGTTGTTTCTAGACTGTCATCTTATGGAATGTATGTGTGTATTGTGTAACGTGATGTAGTTTGGTGTATGGGTACAAGCTTTCTGGATGAACCTGTGGCATCCATCTTCAGAGTAGAAATCATAATCTAGATGGACACCACTGTAAAAAAATCTCAAATCTCACACAGTTGATTTTAACCCTAATAATATACTTTAATTATTTTCTGAAATGTGATTTCATGGTGGTAAATATCAAGATTACAGTCTCATGGGATGTAACATTGTGTAATTTGGTACATGGGTACCAACATTTCAGAGGTATTTCAGAGGTATCTGCTGCCTCCATCTTTATCCCCAAAGCTACATGTGTCAAATCCCAGTAGACAAACAATTTTTTCTCCCTTCCTCTATTATTGAATGAAAATATATAATAACTGTATAAAATTCATAGTACTATATGTTTTTGTAACTGCCATAAGGTTTAAACCATCAGTTTACAGGATGGATACCTTTCTGTCTCACCTGCATACTTGTGTCCATCAAATCTTCTGTAAAGCTCCTTCTGAAATTCATGAAATGATGTTCTGAAAAGAGCTCTGTCCTTGATATTACCAAAAAGTATTACTGGCTCTATATAATGAATCCTCTTTTTCTTCCAGTAGTTGAAAGTCATAGTACAGTACCAGTAAAGACCCCATAGAAGTAATGGTGTTATGATGCATAGTGCTTCAAAGCTGATCCAGAGCACCATATTGTACTTGAATTCCTTTTTACTGTTATCTTCAAGGAAATTTCAAACTCTGTTGGTTGTGACCCTGCAAATTAGGTTGGAACACTGATTAACTTTTTTTTAAATATGTGGCTACTTATTTCTAATTGAAAGAGTTTGTTTGTAGTTTAGTTAACTCTGCAAGTAACTCAGAGTATATAGGGCTATGACAGTGAATGATGAACTGGAAGTAGAAGGAAGGGGTCATGGTCTAATTTAAGGTACTGTCATAGTGTTTGCCTGGAAGAACTGAGCAAAAACTAAGAAGAACCTCAGTAATAAGAGATTGTGTCCCAGCCAAGATTGTAACCAGGCACTTTCCATATAGAGTCATTAAGCTCGTGGAATGTGGTTTCATCACATCATATTACAAGGTATTCACATACACTTATGCAGATCCACATCTACCCTCAACATAATTGCTGTTGGCCGCTATGCAAGTCTGCCAATGTTGGTATAGCTGTCAAAAACATTGCTGAAACATACTGGCAGTGAATTCCTGTACGACACTTTGCGGCCATTCCACGAACTTATTGACTGTGGTAGTAGAAGTCAGAGGTATGGGTTTCCAGGAAATACTGCTGGCCTTCAGAATAAAAACTATCTTTGTATATAGTTTGCCATTATGAAATTTTTCAAAGTCTCATTTAAACGAAAGGTGTAAAAATAAATGTAAGTCTTCAAAGTCCATCCTGATTTTGGTAATTGCTGGTTTCTACTTCATCCCTAGTTCTCAACTTGAACATAATTTTCCTGAGCTTTATTGACACCAGAAATATATATCTCTGAACTGCTCCTGTAGGTACACCATTGCTTGTTTGGATAGTATTAAAATGAAAAATTCTGATGTGTGACTGGCATATGCATATTAGAAATAGCTATCTGAGTTAACAAACTCTCTAACTGCTTCTGTTTGATATGGTGCTAGTGGGCCAGTTTTACTTCTTACATTGAAGTGATGTGACTCTGTACTTTAAAGTACAGGTTACTTACAGTGAACTTGAAATAAAATTATACAAACACAAGCCCTGTGAAACAGTAGGCTTCTGTAGAATATATTTTCTGCCAGTTGGGTAGAAGCATATGAACAATTTCATAGTTACAATATGAGAGGACTAATACCAGCACTTTGGGGACATATTTTCAGTCAGTTATGTGACCCAAGATGTTGGGTTGACTGAATTATGTTGGCCGGCATAATAAGTCAGTGATGATGATTGTCAGTTGGCTAGCTGAGCATGTATTACAACCACAAAGAATGAATACTCACAACAGAATATGGAGTATTTATTGAACTGTGTATATATTCCATACAAAGCTGGCAAATGGTCTGGCCAGTAGCCTCTTAGCAACAACCAGCCAAAATGCATCAGTCAACTTTACTCAGCTGGCACTTACACAGTTCTTATCTAAAGTTACAGCCCAATGTGCCCAGACCATGAACCCCCACAGACAAACTAGTTACATCAAAGTTAGAGAAAGGAAAGTGATTAGTTAGCTCCAGGCTTGAACTACTCCAGGATCCAACTGATTTATGAGATGACAGGGTAAATATTAAATGGTTAAGTGGAGCCAGATTAACCTCTTGACAGACTATAGGATTTAGTAGAGGGCATGACCCAAGACTTCAGACTCAGTCATAAAACTACAGGGGTGGGCCCAGCCTTTGTGATAGATTGGTGCTTTAATGTCTTGTATGAAGGACCTATTTCTTCTCTAATATGATACTTCATGTCCTTTTAGTTGCATGTTCTCTTGAGTAGCCATGTCCAGTAAATTAATTTGTAAGTGTGATGAAAGATACAAGATTTTCACTTCAGTAAAGATTTATAATGTGGACTTTTGGATTATGACACTGCATTCTACTGGTAGTCTGGTATTTGGGGACAAGTGTCATTGCAGCCCTGAGGATGCAGACCATATATATGAGGGCACTACTCTAGTTAGTTATTTAGAGAGGGTGGGTTTCCCCATGCACCATGACCAGTTTGATCTATTGTGCTTCCCTCTATGATATTCTACCAGTCTCTTTACCCAACCGATAAATGGCGCGTACCATCAGTCCCGCCGAGCAAGCGAGTTCGGCCACTTGCTTAGCGGTGTCTATAATGCTTCCCCCCTCTATCAGAGGCCTTAGAGGCTATTGTTGGGCGGGAAACGTCCTGGAATTTGGCTCAGTGATCCCCTTTGGGGATATGAGGTTCTTTTACGTGCCGTAAAGACGACACGGGACACACAGCTTAAAGTCCCTCGCGGAGGACTTGTTCCCTGAATTTTTCCACCCATAAAAATTCGACGACCTCTGCCGGGTATTTGAACCCGCGTACCACGAGTCATGAGGTGGGAACGTTACCTCTAGACTACGGAGGCCGCTGGGCACTACTCTAACAACAGTAAATAGAGGGTATACACGACATTTTCGATTCATAAAAAAGGTAAAGTGTAACAGGCCGTGAAGGCCCATAGGGTTGCGAGACGTGGAGGCTCCCATATTTTCTAAACAATCAGTTCAGATGGCGGTAACGTTGTCAGCCTTAGGCGCCAGCCGGCCATTACCCCCTAGGAAGATTCCTGGCACTCTGCAGCTGGAAGGATTAGGTAAACTGAAGGGGGAAAAAAATCCAATGACCTCATCGGAAATCGAACCCGCGACCTTCAGGCTTGTAGCATAGTGCCTCAATCAACAATGCTACTGCGTGCTTCATAGCTTCTCTTAAATTATTTCAGTTGAGAAGAACACTGTTGAAGTTTATCGACTTTTCAGAGGACTTGCCAGTTTCTTCCTTGCCTTATTCTTCGACTTAGAAGATTAAGACAGTACGTTCCTCCGAAACGCCAGTAAAACTCTACATAACTACACGGCGGTACATCCCAGAAGACAGTACTCGTCCTAGGGAAGGCTATGTGAGAGCCTCAAATCCATCGGTTTACAGCTGACAAACAAGTATCTAATGATATAGTCTCTTCCAAGATATGAAAGACTGTTACTGGTTGAAAGCAATTCAATATTCGTATTACACATACTAAACGTGGTACAACTTTCCCCCTTAGAACACTTGTCCGAAAACTCCCTCTCCAACAAAAATCGTCATCAGAAATGTCAGTCTGTTGTTTCCCGGACTCACGCTTTCGACTTCTCTGTTAATTACGTATATGTTTTTGAACTTCATGAATTTTACGGGTCGTGTTGTTATTCGTCTGATAACTTCAGGGCGAACATTTGTATTGATATTGCTCTACTGGAAGAAAGGCATAATTTTAATGCCGTCCCCTGTAGTACCTAAGGTACAGTGTTCCCTTCCGGACTTCGAAGTTGGACAGCTCTGTCCTCAGCTAACAAATGTGGAGCCCAGTGTATTAAGATGTTATGTTGTAGATTGCATGATAGTTTCTTCAGCCACATTCAATCAGCAGGAACCGGGATAGCGCAGGCGGTATAGCGATTGGCTACGGGCCGGATGACCGAAGGGTCGGAGTTCGAGTCCCGGTAGGGTCAAGAATTTTCTCTTCTCCACGTCGTCCAGACAGACTCTGTGGCCCACCTAGCCTCATATTCAATAGGTATGGGGGGCTCTTTCTTTGGGGGTAAGGCGGTAGTGGCGTGAAGCTGACCACTCACCTCAAACTGGTGTCAAGGTCAAGAAAATGTGGACGTATACATCCACTCCTCCGTACGCCTTCCTGGCGTAGTGCTTAGTTAGTTAAGCACAGGGAAAAATTTACCCAACCCTTCCAGCTGCACTATGGCCTTGGGGTCGACTCTGCCTATAACAGAAATGAGTACCAGGAATCTTCCTGGGGGGTAAAGGGCAGCCGGCGCGTAAGGCTTACCGCCATCTGTGAACCGATTATCTAGAACAGGGATGTCCAACTTCAAACAGGTTGTGATTTACTTTTTAGTGTCAAAACTGCCAGTGATCTACCACCCCCTCCTATCGTCGTACGTCGCTTTAAGCAAAAATATTGGTAAAAATAACAGGTCACATGATGTTTGTTGTAAAAGCAACATACGTACACCGAAAGTTCGTTACTGAGAAGTCTGGGCCTGCATTTCATCCACCAGCTGTTGGAAGTCGGGTGGGCATTGGGTGAGGGCCAGTTTCAGGCAATCCTAGATATGTTAATCTGTCATGTTGGAATGTTGTTTACTCTTTGTCGTTTTTAGGTAAGAAAACGCAGATTCACACAAATAAGTTGAACGGCAAACAGGAGTGTACAATTTCTTAAGTTGGGAAATCTGTGTCTAGGCACTAACTTCCAAAACGATTCTTGTCCAGCGCGAGTCTTGAGAAAAATGTAATTTTTAAAGGGTAATATCTCATTTTCAAGAGATGCCTTGCTCAATGGGTAATTTCCTTATAGGCCTATGAGATCGACCAAAAATCGTCCCGCGATCGACGCGTTGGACATGCGTGGTCTAGAAGATGGGAGAGCCTCGACGTCTCATAACCCTATGGACCTCCACGGCCTGTTACAGAGATAGCTTTACCTTTTACATAAGCATGACACGAGTTTCAAGTAGACCCGCCTGAGATAAACCCTAATAAACAAACGGAGTTCATAATGAAATCGGGGAAGAATACATTTTAAATTTGCGTAACCTACTGTCAAGGCCGTTCAGTTCAGAAACTACTATCATCTCAAAGTGTATTATACCTTTTGGGCTGTAACGCCAGGAAGTCCGTCCGGTTCATGTAATTTATGATCATGTAATCATTTGTACTTACCTACCAGGAGATCGGCGTCGATGTGGGAAAACAGAAAACAAGTAAAAGAGTAAAAGCGATAATGAATCAATTGACACACTACGTCTGGCGTTCACAAGATGATATCCAGCAGCTCTGGGTGCTTTTGAAACTGTACATTTGAAACTTCACGTTCCAAAGGTAAGTTTCGATGGAAATCAGATTCGCTTTATAACACAGTACGTGCGTCACACAGCAACTAATTTTATTTACTTTCTGCCTACAGCAAACAGCTTACAAGAGTGAGATAGTAATGTCATCACATGTGAGGATGACTATTTATTGTATAAAAGCTTGCTGCGCTTGCGCATTAGAATGCTGCATTGTGTGAAATAATGCCGAACACAAGGGCATCAATTAGGGGTCTCAAACATGCGGCCCGTCCGTTCATTTCTTGCACTGATCTGCTAATTTTAGAATGTGCTTTTATCAATAGGTGTGTCCGATAGTGGGCACTTACGACTAGCTGCAACCGAATCTTAAATTTATATTGCCCTGTGTAAAGCAGGTCATTTGTCCGAAGAATCCGCCCAAGTCCGAGGTCCGGTCTGGCATTTCGTAACAAGCTAAATTTTACGGTGAGGAGTTGTTAGCACCACGCCCAATCCCCCCAGCTGGAGAACCACCCTTTGTCGTCTGCCAGCGACTATTTATTCAATATATTCACAGTTATCCTCCATACCTGTAGGGCGTCTCCTTCATCCGCAACATGAGGACGCACCCTGCCGTGGTGATCATAAGAAAAACATAAACTTTAATTGATGCTAATAAGGAGGTTGGTCTGGAAGTTAAACGTAGTGAAAGCTAAGTATATGTTGCTGTCTCTTCGCCAGAATGCAGGACAAAATCGTGACATAAACACAGGTAACAGATCCTTTGAAAGTGTGACACAGTTGAAATGTTTGGGAACGACAGTAACAAATCAAAATTTGATTCAGGAGGAAATTAAGAGGGGACTGAATTCGGGTAATGCTTTCTACCATTCCGCCCAGAACCTTTTGACGTTTCGTCTGCTGTTTAAAAACGTAAAAATTAAAATATACAAAACTACAGTTTTGCCTGTGGTTCTGTATGGGTGTCAAACTTTGTCAAACTCGCAGAAGCGAGTGCTCAGCTTCACGTCCCTGCTTCATTATCCCCTGCGGAACAGCCCCCCCGTATATGCTAAATAGGAGGCTGGGTGGCCCCAGAGCAGGTCTTGGCGCTGCGGAATACAGACAAATATGTTGCTCCTGCCGGGAATAGAATCCTGACTCCTCTGCCGTCCAGACCTACACTGTACCGACGAAGTCCCTTGTAGAGCGTAAATTCGTTAAAAAGGTTTTCTCCGAGTACTTCGGTTTCCCCTGCCAGTCTTCATTCCACCAAATTCTCCATCATCATAATCACCCGGGGGAGATATAATAGGCCAAACAGTGGCAGACTTGCCGAGTGGACCCAGCTGGACTCCCCCCCCCCNACCAACTTTGCGAATAAGAAAAATATAATACCGAAGTATATCAGTGACTAACTTCAGAATCTTGCCATGAGTAATTTTCGCTCGAGAACTACCACTGTAAGTGCCCTGTGCTTAGTATATAAACGGGCAATGGTTGAGCGTGATCTGCACGTGAACCTTTTGTGTACGAGTATATGAAGGTTGAGAAGCTGAACAGGAAGAGCATTTCATCTGAGTGACGAAGCAACTGATGTAACGATGAAGAAAGCAATCTTCTGGGATGTGGCACCGTGTAGATGTGATATTAACCGACGTTTCGGAGGAACGTATCGCCTCCATCTTCAGGGTAGAAGGAAAAATAAGAAAATCCGCAAGCGAAGAGACAGTGAGAACAGGTGCATAAGTCTGCTTGCATCTGTTCTCACTGTCTCTTCGCTTGCGGATTTTCTTATTTTTCCTTCTACCCTGAAGATGGAGGCGATACGGTCCTCCGAAACGTCGGTTAACACCACAACTACACGGTGCCACATCCCAGAAGACTGCTTTCTTCATAGTCACCGCCGTGAAAACCTCAAATCTTACAAATGATGTAACGTTGGTACACCTGGTGTGTGTGTTTTTTGAAGGGTTTTCGAGTAAAGTTTGTAGATGTTGTAGGTTAGAAGCTGTAGATGTTTACTTTTTACTTGCAGTAAATATAAGATTAGAGATGTTTAAACATGATTTTAAGTTTTATAAAAGGAGACGTCCTCCACCAGATTTGTCAGGAGTTTTAGACTTAAGCAAAGATTTTTGCAGTAGTGCCGTGAGTGAGTTGTGTTTGCTGTTCCATGTGATTGTACGTCACATGCATAAGACTTAAGAATAAAATTGTTTGCTTTCTGTTCATTGTAGGTAATAGCTAGAAGAATAAACCAAACATGTGACGATATGATACGAGACGGGCACTGGGGGTTGAAGCCAGTAGACGAATGGAGAATGTACGAACTGACCGACAGGCAGGGTATGACAATTGCAGTTTGCCGAGGTTTTTTTTTTTTGGTGAAGGAGTAGATTTTGTCGTCTTTCCGAAGACGACGAAACAGTTGCAAAAGTAAATAGCTCGTATATCGACTGCAATATTATCTCAAAACCTAATCAAGCATTTGCTTAGTAGAACAAAATCTGTTTAGGACGTTATTTTTAATAAAGCATTCCATCGTCATTTCAGCTATTAATATTAGTTTCATGTTCCAGCATTCACAATCTGTGACGTGCTATACTGTGCTGATTACCACACACTATGTCCTTATAAGCTCTACCTATAAATAAATCATTCTTTCATATAAAAAAGCACATCTCTGCAGATGTTAACATTATGGTAAACACCAAATTTCCCCATCTCTGTAAAAATATTCGTAACTTTCAGTATTTCGGATAATTATTATAGACTTCCAGCCCTGTTCATAATATCCAATTCATGCTGATTTGGAAATGCTGTAGTCATATGAAGTCTCATCCCCAGTTGGAAAGGAAATTCAATCTGAAGTCATGATCTACTGTACAGTCACATGTCACACTATCAGAAAGTGGCTGAATACCTGCTTCTAAAATTGTTTGATTATAGAGCAACCAGTGCTGCAGTTATGGTCATTAGGAACCCCATCCGCATTTATCTTGGCTGCCTTCTCACAGCATCTGAGGTACATGTGCATGTGACATAAGTATTTACAGGCATATTTTCATGTTTCCTTGAAATAAATCTGCTGGCTGTTAAGATACAGTTATTGTTACATGTTCTTTTGACAAAGTAGGTGAAGTAAATTAAATATTTGCAGACTAATAATATACTGGTCCCAGAACAGTAGAAAACAAAAGATTGAAATAAAATCACCTAATGCAACCCAAAGTACTTATTCAAAATGGGGAACAATAGAGCATGGAGTTCCTCAGGGGTCAATTTTAGGACCTTTGCTTTTTAGAATCTGTATAAATGACCTTCCCCTAACAATANGAATTACAATTCTATGGTATTCAGGGAACAATGGCAGGTTGGTTCAGATCCTACCTTGTAGATAGAAAACAAAAGATTGAAATAAAATCACCTAATGCAACCCAAAGTACTTATTCAAAATGGGGAACAATAGAGCATGGAGTTCCTCAGGGGTCAATTTTAGGACCTTTGCTTTTTAGAATCTGTATAAATGACCTTCCCCTAACAATAAATGCCTGATCAATACCCATAATATTTGCTGATGACACTAGTGTAATAATTTCTAGTAAGAATTTGGATGATTTCTGTATGTTATTGAATAATGTTCTCTCTTATATGAGTAAATGGTTTGCTGCTAACAAACTGGCCCTGAATCTAGATAAAACAAATATAATAAAATTTATAACAAATAATACACCTCAATATCCATTAAGCACTGGATATAATAATAAATATATAGAAGAGTCAATACAGACAAAATTCCTTGGCTTACAAATTGATAACCACTTAAACTGGAAATACCATATCGATCAGTTGGTTCCGAAGTTAAGTGGGACATGTTATGCAGTAAGAGCTTTGTTACATGTCAGCAACATTGATACACAGAAGTCAGTTTATTTTGCCTACTTTCACTCTGTAATTAAGTATGGAATAATATTTTGGGATAACTCATCTGACAGCAAAAAGGTATTTACATTACAAAAGAAAATTGTTAAAATCATGGTGGGTGTAAAACCTCTAAATTCTTGTAGGGAGCTGTTAAGAGATTACAGATCTTACCTCTTTCATGTGAATATATATTTTCATTATTAAGCTTCATTATAAATAACCAAGAACGTTTTCAGACCAATTTGGATGTACACAATGCTAACACGAGAAACAAGCACCATCACCATAGACCTGTTGCTAACCTGACATGTTTTCAGAAAAGCACATAGTATTCTGGCATTAAAATTTTCAACAATCTACCATCTAGTCTCAAGAGTCTAATGAATGAAAAGGCGCAATTTAAATGAGCACTGAAATGATACTTAAATACACACTCATTCTACTCTGTTGATGAATTCCTACTGTCTAAAAATGACTTGTCCTTTTGAAAGGTTATGTACATAGCATAAGTTGACAGTATTGACTTATATATGTGGATGCGTTTTCTTTTTTGTGTCTCAGTTGAACTGTATTTATGGCTTTTGTATCTGTATGACATGTTCCACATCCTACAGTCATTGCGACTTACTTTGGATATACAGAATGTAATGTATGAATAGACAGGATTATAGAAATACAACTTAACTCATTCTTCCTAGATCCTGTTCATTTTCTCAGCCAAAATTTCTGTTACATTTTACTTAGTCATCAGTCCATTACAGCATTAGAGCCAGTCTGGCATCTGCTGTTATTAACAGGAATTGAAAAAAGAACAGTATTTGAATGACAGTGTATGGAATTTATTACATATATAACATGGAGAGGTAGGAAGATGCTCAAGAAATATGTCATAAACAACTGCAAGGTAAAATCTCAAGTTCAAAATGTGTAGTACTTGTGTATGATGTGGGAAGGGTTAAATGTGCTAGGCAGTTAACAAAATCCATTTACTGTTGTTTCACAGTATACACCTTACAGATATTTTTATTCTCTCTGCTAATGTGCATCGTTGTATTTTCTCTTTTTTGGCAGTATATCTCTGGAGTCCTGATGAAAGGGGAAATCATTTCTGTCTACACATTTCAGCTCTACAGAATACATTTTGATGATATATTGAGTTGGGAATCTACACTAAATGTCATCTGGCAAATTTAATTGTGATTTGTATTAATCCAGTACAACTCTTAGTAAATTAAACTGAAATCAAATGTTATGGTCTCAAAAATGTTCATCGTACCAAAATTTGTATGTTGCATAACATATACATGTACAACTTCTACATGAAACATTTATGGGTATGATGTATATTTTAGAAATACAGGAAGAATAAATATTTTGATTGCATTGTGATTAGCTTTGTGCTAACAGACTTTTTGTGTTCAGTAAATGAGTAGTAGTACCAATGATATATATTTGGAAAAATGTGTGCTTTGTTGGAATACTCCTTCACATTCTTGTTATTAAATTCCACAGGTTTGTTGTTCATACCAAACCCTTTCACTGCCCTTGGACAGAGATACTGGGTTTGTCGCTGTCTGAAAGACTTTACTTGTAAACCACAAAAACTGAACCTTGATGCGCATGGAGACTTGCAGGATGGACAGAAGTGGTGGGACACATGCATGAAGTGAGTATTGGATTGATCTGTCTCTTGTATTGTAGTACAGAATGGATATGAGTAATCTCCACAGTACAGAGACTTCTGGGTTGGTTTATAATTACTTACCTGATCAGAAAACTTCACATAGATTTAGAGGTTCTCACATCGGTAGTTATGAAGAATTCTCTTTCTGGGATATTACACCATGTAGCCTGTTGAAAGTTAATGAATTAGCTTCCAAAATGTAAGTTGACTTTCAACACACTTTATCAAGTTATATCCTGGAAGGTGTAACTCTTATTAAAAAATATTATAATAAATAACTAAATAAATACATTTGGGGGGGGGGGGGTTAATAAGGAATTTGAAGTTTCATCGCTATATTTGCTGGATCATAACTTTGAGTCTATTGAATCAATCTGCATCCACAGACCCTTTCTTTGTACAATGCATTTATCGTGCAGTCTTTGGGGAGCTGAGACAGCTCAGCTGGTACAGCAACTGGAGTGCAGGCTGGAGAACCAGTGAATCAGGGATTGATTCCCAACAAGGGGCAGAATTCATACTCCAACTGTATCAACATACAAAATGTTGTCTTCGAGGATACATGTCACGCTGTGTCAGCACGTCTTCCTTGCGTTCAAAGACACATTCTGCCACATCTATCGCTCTTCACGGACCAACATTATATTGCATTTACATATCAGTTCTTGCCTTCAAAGGTTCTCTACCGTGCATCAATCAACTCCAGATACACACCAACAGAGTAACACCAGAAGGTTTCTTCCAAGCACACATCAAAGTAATGTAGAACTTTAGAGTTGTAATTTAGCTTGGATTGGCTAAGGAGGATATACTAAGAAGGAAAGTACATATAATATAAGACTGTGAAGTACCAAGTCAAACGTAGTGAAACTGAGTAGTAGATACGAGTTTATAACTCCATAAGTTGGAGAATACTTATATTTAAGGAAATACTCTCGTTTTTGGTATCATATCTATGAAACTGAGTCATTATTATTTTAAATTGATTTTAATATATCTGCATTTTAATAAATTTGTGCTTGCAATCCCCCCGCCCTTGAAGGGCTGAATCACCTGACTCTCGTACTGGCAGTCTCTTAGCTGGAACCATAGCTATCACCAGTCAATCAAGTGGATTCTAGACTTACAGCTAGTATGCTGTGCGTTGTAAACGTGGATATACATTTCTTAAAGTAAATTAATTGTTTAGAAGAACTCTTCATCACAGTAGATGCTCAGAATGTCTCCCTTCTGCCCTTAAACAAACTTAAGTTTCTTGAAAAGCTTTCTTGACACTAGTTTAGTTCATTGACAATATTATATTTCAGCATCCTGTTACACTCACACAATATATATGGATAAATACCGTCTTAAGTGCAACAAATTTTATTGTAGTTTTTACTTCTTTTCCTCCTCCACACTACATGTTTCGGCCCTAAATGGCCATCATCAGGTGTGTATCACTCACGTAGCTGTTACACTGCTTGTTAAAATTTAAAATTACCAGTCTTTCTAATTGTATAAAATCTTTGTTAATCTACACGCGTCGATTTGATTTTTAAATTAGCACTTTTTAAAACTTAATTCAAGTTAAAATGTCTATAAGATCTCTGTTCTTTCTTTTTCAAATTTTTAGTTAAAATTTTTTCAGGGTACATGCCCTATATCTACGGTGCTGCAGCGGCCACTTCTTGTTTTTATCGTTGTTCATGTGTTGTCTGTAATATACAAATATTCCTGTTACTATCTTATGTTATGTCATGTTATGTTATTCTTATATGTTTATACTGTTATTTGTACTTACTCAGTGTAGGCGCTCTCTGTGTGTGTCGCTGCTTATCTTTAATACGTTTGCTGTCTGGTGTACTGTGTGCTGTGTTTTATGTTCGTGAGTGTTGGAGGGGGAATGGGTAGTGGGGGGAGGGAGGTACCGTTAGCTTGTATAGATTTCGTATATAGTTTGAAATATGGGATTGTATGTTTCTATGTGTGTGTCATTCATTTGTAGGCCTTTCTTACTTATTTTATATATATGGTATTTCTCTAATGTATTCAAATGTTTACCCTTTTTTCCCGTTGTTACAACTTCCATTACGTCTGTTATTGTTCCGTATGAATGTCCCGTATTTAGTATGTGATTTGAGTACCCGGAATTGCAATTATTATTTCTAATATCATGTAGATGTTCTTTATGTCTAGCGTTAAATGTTCGGCCCGTTTGTCCAATGTATTTCAATGGGCAATCTACACATTTCATTTGGTATATGCCACTTTTATTGTATTTATCTAATTGTGGTTTTTGTTTGAGTATGTTTTCTATTGTGTTACGTGTGCGGAATGCTACCTTTATCTGTGTGTCTTTAAAAAGTTTTGTAGTAGTAGTGGAGGAGGAAAAGAAGTAAAAACTACAATAAAATTTGTTGCACTTAAGACGGTATTTATCCATATATATTAGTTCATTGACCTCAGTAGTTGTAATTGTTTCACAAATGTTGTGTTGAAGTTCATCCACTGTGTGGGGATTATTTGAGTTCAATTTGTTTTTTAGGTTTCCTGACATAAAAATCACCCCTTCAATCTAGTCAAACATACAGAAAGTATCTGATTCAAATTCTGGTCAAAGACAAACTACTGTTAACAGTTTCTTTGTGAACCTGCTCATTCTGTTTAAATTGATATATGTATAGCACCTTCAGTGGGTCACAACCACCTTCACACACATATCACTTAATAATTATCTTGAGATATCTCTTAGCCACGGAAGTTGATACATGAAAATAAGAAAGTGAATAAACAGTAACAAAAGCAGCTAGTAATGGGCTGTGGGGTGGACAGTCAAGGAATTGGGGTTTAATTCCTGGCAGGAGCAGGAAATTTTTCTCTTTTCCACAGTGTCCAGACTGGCTCTGGGCCCACCCTGCCTCCTCTCTAACAGCTACCATGGATAAAGCAGCTAAAGCATGAAGCTTATTGTGCACTTATTTCAAGTACCAAGGTTATGAATACCTGGAACTATACTTTCACTGCCTCATATGTTATCATGGCATAGTGCTTAATTAAGCACAGGATAACTTTACATTTTAAATAGCATACTTCTGGTTTAACTGTGTTTTTCTTTTCACATGCCTTGTTAACTTTGTGGGAACATCCCACATACTAACACGCAGTTTCACCGGTGTAACAGACAGTACTCATTCCTAGTCATATCACATTGCCACCAGCACTCGTATTTATACAGCACTCGCTGTCCATCCCACATTTAGATCATCATGTGTGCTAGCCAATCAGCGCTCACTATCGCAACTGCAAGTTTAAGCTCCGCCCAGCAAGCATGGTATAAAAGCCGAGCCCAAAGCTCGCAGTCGTCAGTGATCACATTCAGTCATCAGAGTCATCAGCTCTTCCTCGTGCCAAAGACAGCTGCCGCAACTCTCCAGCAACCGTGCTCTGCTACCAGAGAGCTAACGTAGCTGCCGCAACTCTCCAGCAACTGCACTCTGCTACCAGAGAGCTAATGTAGCTGCCGCAACTCTCCAGCAAACTCGCTCTGCGCCCAGGCAACTAACGTAGCTGCTGCAACTCTCCATCCTGCACCGCGCATGCAGCACCACATCACTGGCTGGACAAACCAGCTGAACAGACGTAAAGACTTGATCTACTACAAAGGAGCAAATTCTACCAGCGCACTCATGGTGGAACAAACTGCCCTTTTCAGGGCCAACTAACTTTTGACATTCCACATAGCTTCGCAGCTATTCTGTACATTCAATTTATACAATTTAATATATACAATTGTTACAGATTTACGTGGTTGTCTTTTAGAACATTGACAATCCCACAACATTCATCATGCCTAGGCAGAGCCTTTTAGGAGTTTCAGGTAAGACTTAAAAGTAAGGTAAATTTGTCCCTGTGCTTAACTAAGCACTACACAATGTAGGCATATGGGGAAGTGGATGTATAGATCCACATTCGCTTCAAGTAAAACTTATTTCCTTAATTTACCATGTATTCCAGAGATACAGAAAGAGGAAAGTCACTTCTGCAGAAGTTACGATGGGTAACTTTGGGATATCATCACAACTGGGATACAAAGGTAGGTGATAATTTGAGAGAATATACAAATGATGTATTTCGAAGCAAAGCATCTGAAAGGTATGAAAGTAAATCAGTTCTGTCTTACATGATTTTACCCCCATTTTTCAGTCATAGTTAAATGTCTGTTAGCTTAATTATGTCCATCCGTCTACATCAGTGTCTTTCAACTGGTGTGGCACAATGTGAGTCTGCATGTGCTGCTGCATTTTCAATTCACATAATTTAATTCGTAAGTAAATCAATAAGTAAGCCACAAATGGATATAGAACTTAAACAAATAAGAGTACAGATTTGAAAAATACTTTTATTTCTCAGCATAATGTCCCTGTACATTGAGGCACTTGTCCCATCATTTCACAAGCCCCTGAAACCAGCAGCATAAAATTCTTTAGGCTACTGTTGGAACCAGGCGGTGACTGGGATCACGAAGGCATACTGCTCACCACATTCCAGCCTCAAGGACAAACCGTAAATGCAGACTCCTACTGTAACATCCTCAGGAAACTTTGTAAGGCCATTTAACAGAAGCGACCAGGACTCCTCACCAAAGGCGTGTTGCTCTTGCATGACAACGTGCGTCCCCATACTGCCAACAAGACAAATGAGACGCTGCGAAATTTCAAGTGGGAAGTCCTCGAGCATCCTCCATATAGCACTGACCTTTCTCCAAGCGACTTCCATTTGTTCAGCCCTCTTAAACATCATCTTTCAGCTCAACATTTTCCCAACGATGAAGCTGTAGAAAGGGAAGTAACCCCCTGGTTCCGACAGCAGCCCAAAGAATTTTATGCTGCTGGTTTTCAGGGGCATGTGAAACGATGGGACAAGTGCCTCAATGTACAGGGAGATTATGCTGAGAAATAAAAGCATTTTTCAAATCAGTTCTCTTCTTTGTATAAGTTCTATATCCATTTGTAACTTACTTATTGACTTACCCTCGTAATAGTTAACAGAGTTTGTTATTAGCAGTGAGATCTTATTCATTTCTGTAACATCATATCATTGACATGTGCTACAGTTTGTTTGTTAATTGCTGCCTTGATTTTTTTTAAATTGTTTTTTGGAATCACCATTTTAATTTTTATATTTTGTCTGTAGCTCGCGTTATTTGATACTTGTTTTGAAAAGGTTGTTAATCTGTTAAATGTTTCAGTGAACTTCTGTCCATGTTGTAAAAAGTAGGTAAATGGAGAACATAAAAGGTAAGCTGTCCCTGTATCATGCCATGGAGGCCTATAGGGTTGTGAGATGTCGAGGCTTCCACTTGTTGACAGTCTGTTCACAAATGGCAGTGAGGGTCTCAGCTTTATGTGCCAGCTGTCCTTTACCCCCAGTAAGATTCCTGGTACTCATTTCTGTTAAGAGGTTGAGCCGACCCCAGCGCCATGGTGCAGCTTGGATTAGGCCAATTGAAAAACCCAGTGACCTCATCAGGAATTGAACCCACAACCTTCCAACTTGTAGCATAGTGCCTCAGCCAAATTCACTACCACATGCCCCAAATGGAAGACATAACTACATATAAAGAATAACATGAATGTATTTTAGGCATGCATACACATAGACATTTTCAGTATTGCAGTAATGTTTGGGTTGGTTTGCTTTTGATGGTGAGCTGTATTCCTTATGGTATCCTACTTTAAGGCAGAAAATGTCCTTTTAAATGTCTCTCACCAAATGTAAAATATAGTAAGCGCCAAATATCCAGTACTGAACTCGCGCATCTCGAACATGCATGTGCTTTTGTCGATGGGGAATAGCTCTAGCCACACATGTTCCTAGTAGTGAAAAGTAAGTTGTGTTGTGCAGATGTTGTTGGAAATGTGTCTTTTGACGGAGGAAAAAGTATTCATAGTTGAGTATTATTTCCGTGCATATGAAAGTGGTTGCCAGGCAACCCGCTTCCTTGGTTTTGAGCAGCCAGATGTTATCGTCCAGAAACCGCTATATAGAACTCATGTGACAATATGGTGTGCCATCTCAGCACACGATATATTAGGCCCCAATTTCATTGAGGATGAGGAAGGCAATGCTCTTACCATCACCCAAGAACAGTACAGGGACATGGTGATCAGATAATTTCTTCAAGATTTGAGAAGGTTCTGTCGTGCAAGGAGCCTTCACATGAATAGAGAGTGGTATCAACAGGACGTCTTTTCATGTCAGTACTGTTATTTTTGGCACATACTGTATTATGAACTGATGCTGTAGATCATAATGAGACCAATACTTTGTGCCATATAAATATTTTTAATACAGTGATTCATTTTAGAGAACTTTCACAGAAGTTCTTTTAGATATTTGAAGTATACACATAGCTTATTCTTGTTATTTGGTGTGTTTAGTGTATATGTATGAGTAGGAAATTACTGTTTCACAGTTGTACAGCGAAGATTCTCGTGGCCCCTTCCCTGAAGACTTGGCTGTGCTGTGTCAGTACATCGCCAGAGTGGTTGGCTTGAATGATTTTTCTGCTGAAGCTGCAATTGTGAATTACTATCACATGGACTCCACATTGGCTGGACACACAGATCATTCCGAGCTCAACAAAGAAGCACCTCTATTTTCTTTTAGGTGAATTTATTTAATATCTGGGGAAAGTCAGTAACATGATGCAGTTAACTGTTTAGCATCCAGCTTTATGCAGGTGTTGCTACTAAATAATGAGACCCATATAATAAAACACTTCATTGAAAGTTTAAGTTCTTTACTGATTATCTCATTCAGAGCAATTCCTTTTGATAACTACATGTGTGTGCGGAATCATCTCTGCTACATTATTCCACTACATTCATTTGGAACTGAAAATGCATTTATGTTGTTCCCTCTCGCACCCGTATTTTTATCTTAAAATTGCATAATTTTAGGAAAATTGTGAGAGAATAATATGCAGCAAAAGCATTAATTAAGGTCTGGGACATGATCATCTTCATTGTACCTTATTCAAATAAGAGATTATGCTTCTAATACAGTAATTAAGACTAGTCTTCAGGCATGAGCTGCCTTGTAGTTGTGCCATTGGAGGATACTCCAGTCTTAACATTCACTGATATGAGATCCTCATATCTTATGTAGTAAAATAATTTCTTTCTTTCTTTTCTTAGTTTTGGTCAGAGTGCTTTGTTCCTGCTTGGTGGACTCAGTGTGGATGAGAAGCCTGCAGCAATGTTTATCCACAGTGGTGACATTATTATCATGTCTGGAGTGAGCAGACTTTGCTACCATGGAATCCCTCGTATTCTGTCAATGGATAAAACACCGTGGAATGCTGTGGATTCAAGAGCAGGGTGCATACAGAGGGAGTGTTGTGATGACTCAGTTGTGTGTGACACAGAGGACTATGGGAGTGCAAGAAGATGTAGGAAAGAAACAAACTCAACATTCTATCCATCTTGTTTTAGTTCTGAAATCATTCATTCATGTACAGAAAGTTATTTTTGGGAACCATTTGGGAATTATTTAAGGACTTCAAGAATTAATATGAATGTAAGACAAGTCCTTCAGCCAGCCATGAAAAGTCTCCCACAGCAGCTGTGAAGTATAAGATATGTACCATACTTAGCCACCAAGACAAAGAGTTTTCAGATTTTTAAAAGTTATAAAACTAAGGAACATAAATTTAAGTGCTAAATTTTTTATATTGGCATTTTTATACATTTTAAAGTTACATTTTTGATACCAAAGTTTTTGCTATATTACACCATGGGTGAAAGTGAAAGTGAAAGAGAAAGAAAGTGTCAGAAGCCACAACTTGCTGTGAGGTTGCAAAAGTATTAGCAAATTTATGAAACAAAACTGGCAGTTCCCTGATATATATGATATAAGATTTTGTGCTAATGCAAACATCTCTTTCTGTAGAAAGGAAGATCATGTTGAGAGAGAGATACTGTTGTGAAAGGGTATAATTTGTCAGAAGTGTTTGGTGCAGTTACGATCAGAAAATATGGTGATTAAATGTGCAAGACAAAAACGGTTGTGACATATCAAGAAAACATATAGGGATGGAAACAACAGAACAAAGAATGTAAGAATGCCAATTCTGCATGATAATTATTCAGTGGCACTAACTGCGGTTATTTTTATGAAATTGAAGAAGAGGTTATTAAGTTTGTGTGAACTCTTAAGACAGAATGAAATGCCAGTTTCATTACACTGAAAGCACAAGAAATTGTAAGGTTGTTGAATATCAAGTGGCAGAAATTTAAGACCAGTAGAAGGTGCAGTTTGTTTGAATGATGCACAGAAACAGGTTTTCTTTATGCAGAGGGCTTCACGTTGCCAAAGGCTACCTTCAGACTTCAAGGATTAACCTTTTTTCTTTCAGAAACAGGATTCAGTATCTGAAAGCAAATAAGTACTAACCCAGATAGGCAGTGCCATTGAAGCACCAGTGTTTTTTGATGTGCCATCCAGGCACTGTAAAATCTGCCAAAAAAAAGGCATAAGGCAGTAAGAAAGATGTGACTGTCATGTATCACCAGATGGCATGAAGCTACTATCATATGTGATACTGAATTTAAAATCTGTTTACTACTAATCGTGTGTGAAACTGAGGGATGGGTGACTTAATAGGAGACTGGTTACAGGTTGTCTGGAAGAGGAGATCAGGAGTTTTGTTGAGAATAAGAGGAATGATTGTGCTGGATGCATTTAAAAGTAATTTAACACTGGAAGTCACATTTGTTATTCAACCAGTGAGTACTAGCCTTTGCAGTCGTACCTGACGGGATGTCCTCACAACTACAGGCTCTAGATGTGTACAGTGGAGTTGCATCTTACATGGAGGTTATGTTCCAAAGATGACACATAAATCCAAAATTGTTTACGGTCAGAATTACCCTTGAAAATCCCTGAAATTGCCCATGAAGTACATGCTATTGTGTACACCCTGTAATATGTATGTATATAATAAAGAGTACATAATGTATAGTAAAATGTATAGTGATTTTATTTTTAATTTTCATAAAAGAAGAGAGAGAGAAAGAGATGACTGAAACAATAAAAAAGGATTTTCGACTAGGGGTGGAACTGTCAGATCTGGTCCCTCTGAAAGGAACATCAGGTGCTGAAGAAATTCTTTCTGGATTAGTGAATCTTTGTAGCAAATATGAATTGTCTTGGAGGTGGAGGTGGTTGGACCTGTTAGTGATGGGGCTCTGGCTGTGACTGACAAAAGTAACTGTGTTGCAGCAAAATTAAAAAAAGAATGAAAGAATTTGAAGGAGCGACTTCTCTCTTTCACATCCACTGCATTCTTCATCAAGAAGCATCATGTGCAGATTTTGAGTATGACTCACATAATGGACACTGTTGTTAAAATTGTGAATTGTATTTGTGCAGATGTCCTTAACCATCATGAATTTGTAGCATTACTGGGGGAAATAGAATTTGGTGAAACAGTTTACAACACAGAAAATGAGGTTATGTTGAGCATCAGCGGACTTCTCGAATTTCCTTACAAATGGTGGTGCCAGACATCTTGGAAAAAAATGGGAAGACCGACATCTTCATGGCTATGCTCACAAATAGCTGGAGTTCCAAAGATCTCGAAAGGAAATGAGGTAGCAGATCTCTTACTAATGTTGTACATTAAGAGAGAGTGGTGTCAGAGATCTTGGAAGAACATGAGAAAAGGAGTCTTTTCATGGCTTTTCCCACACAATTCCAAACGGCCAAGTCTCAACTCGATTAGTGTATATGAGTACCAAGGCAAGTAGAGTTAAGGTACATCACTCACTGTCATTTCTTAAATAGACAATAATGACATTATTTTGTCCTTGTCTCAAAGGAGCAGCAAATCAAACTGTGTCATATAACTTATGTTCTTCTTTTATGTAGCAGCACATTCATGTTTGAATTACAGTTACATGGTTGGATGTCTTGTAAGGCAGCAGTTCCGAAACTTAGAGGCCCGACTGTCCAGAGGCCCCTGAAACCATCATTTCATAATTGTGATACATATGAATTGATTAGGAAAAAACATTAAATTACGAAAATGAATGAAAAATACGGTATTCTGGGCTGTGACACTGTGTAATTGGGAGAGAGACTGCTTCTGCTTGTTTTTTTAGTTACTCTCCGACCCTGAAGATGGAGGTGGCATGTTTCTCCTAAAGGTTCGGAGGAAGAAAGTGGAAGGAAATGTCACTTGCATATGTTAAGGTTCTATCATTGCATTATTCTGAAGGCAGTGAGGACGGTCATGGAAGTTCCAGGTTAGCTAGTCTCTGGGACTAGATTCGAACCTATGATCTCCCGAATGCGAAGCAAGAATATCAGGCTAACTCGACGCTCCTTATATGTACATGACAGCAGAAAGATATACCTGCTCTTATCGAGAATCGAATTCCATTCATCGATTCTATAGCCAGTCACTTTATTTTTCAAGATACCTGTAATTAAACACTCGCTATCAAGTAATATCCGAACCGATCTGAACTCAGTGACATTTGTACTTAGTCTGTAGTAAAGGAATTCTCTCAACAGTGGCAGTGCAATTGAAGCGTAACCAGCCTGTCCCCACAGGTGCACAATTTATGCTTTAGAAACTTCTTTCCTTCTCATGTAACACGAATAAGAGGACAAGCTGATCCAATATCAGGTATACATTACAATCCTTGGTAGTAATAACGGCTTATGTTCGAAACTGGTGGCATTCCAGATTCCTTCATATTAACCCTCATACACAATATGAAAAAGGTAATTGCATTTGGAGCAAAGAAAGCACTATGCCTAACAAGTGCGTAACGGAACTAGAAATCACCTGCATGCACATGGCAAAACGAAACACAAAGAACAAAGTTCTCACTGCATCTACTTATGGACAGTTCAAGACAGTTCTAGACAGTTCAGCCTGGAGAAAATCGTAATAGGAAACAACATAATGTCTACTCCTCACTTAATATTGTCACAGTGATCAAATGACGTATACTGAGATGGAGGAAATGAGAAATATACACGATGAAGTCTTCTGGATTAGTCACTCGATGGAATGAATTGATTTCATACTGACATGGCTGAATGCCCAAGAAGAGTTCCTTTCAATTATTCGCAGTGATGGCTTCAAATCATTTGGATTAATATAGCTACAATATATATGAAATTTTCATCAGGGAACCTTGAAGAGGAAGATGAGAGCACAATACTAGAACCGCTCCTAGAGAATTATAATATTGTCAACAATTCTGTCTCTGTTGTCTAGGCAGTTTCCTAGATAGCGGTCTGCTTACGATTTCTTTGCCACTGAAGTATGTGTTCTTGTTTTAGCCGTTGCATAGCAATGGACGTCATATCCGGCTTTTAGGCGCCACGCCACAATGTAAAGGTATGGACTGGAATGAACTTGCTCGGGATAAATATCATCAGCCTTGTATCCACTGGGTACCGAGGAGAGAAACTGCTAGAATATGAATTGCCCTTTCAGTCTACTTCGACGATCGATAATTCTTGGAACTTTATGTCCGTGGCTGTAGCGGATATAGTGCGTCCTCGTAGCACTGGGTGACCGTGAGTGTTCGCCGTGACACGTCGTCAGCAACATGGCCCTAGGCGTGGAGGTAGTCTGAAAGTACAGCACAACGCTAGTTGCATTACGCTTGCTCGCACACGAATTTCGAAAGGAACCCGGATATTTCAGTCGGTATCGGAGCTAGGCTAAGGGCTGGACAAACGGGGTTTCGATTCCCAGTAATAGAGTTTTATCTTCTCCATGGGGTCCACCTAGCCTCCTATATAATGGGTACCAGGGGCTCTGTTCCCGGGGATAAAGCGTCAATGCCGTGAAGCTGACCACTCACGTCCATCTATTTCCGAGGCCAAGAACAATGAGTTATACCTTCACTCTTCCATATACCTTCCTGGCATAGTACTAGATTGCGCAATTAAGTCTGTCGATATAGCGACGGGTTCAGAGGCTGGACGGCCGGGGTTCGATTCCCGGCGTGGGACAAGATTTATCTCTTATCGATGGGATTCACACCGGCTGTGGTGCCCACCAAGCATCCTATCCAATAGGTACAGGGGGGCTCCTTCCCCCGGGAGTAAAGCGGCAGTGACGTGAAACTGACGACTGACCTCCATCTAGTACCTAGGTCAAGTATGCTGGAGCTATACCTCCACTCTCCATACGTCTTCGTGGCGTGGTGTTTAATTAGTTAATCAGAGGGACAGTTTTAATTTTGTGCAAGGGATATCTTTACGCTTAACTTTTACGAAATTCAGCAAGTATGACAATATGTTTCCAGTTAAGACGTTTGTTCTTTAAAGCTTGGACATCGGTCATTAGACTGCACACTTCAGCCAGTTGTCCTCTTCCGGCTTTCAGTTCCATCTGACTGCGGAAGTGATTGTTTCGCTTGGACCAACAGGTATCTTGGTACCCTGGATGTGAATATTTCCCAGTGTGAAGAAAGTCGACCACCATGGGCAAGTTTACCTTCTAGACCTATGAAAGACTGGTAACCTAGGACGGAGCATTGAGCAATGCGGAAGTATCATTGTGATTCGAACCATGCCGCATAAAAGCAGCTGTTACGTTCATTTATTTTTACATTTGCGCTTTTGTTTGTAAATGTTCCGTCCATACTCTTCGTGCACGGAAATTCCCGGGGAATTTGCAACGTTTTCCTTAAACAGAATGTGTAAACTTAACTACGAATGCCAGGCTCTGCTTGAATGTTGATTAGGCGCCTCTGTAATTTAACTACAGTAGTTTCAATTTTAAATGTTTTTTTATATCCCATTTCTTATTAATGGATCGAAATGGACGAATTCATGGATTCAGTTTTAGGGATGACCCAATATCTTCGGCCGTTAAGGATTTCACGTGAACCAATCAGATTTCGAACTCCGGGACTGCTTGTTGAATGCTCTGAGAAGTAGAATCGAGACATTTTTGATAACCATATGAACTCCTTCGCAAAATCAACGACCGCTTCCTCGCAAGTTCTGTTAATCTGATTTTCATAATTATAGCCGTCATAAGTCCGGTCTAGAAAACCGAAATTAACGACCGTGGGGATTCGTTGCGCTGACCACGTAACACCCTCTATCCGCTAAAGTTGGCACTAACTTCGCCGACAAGCGGCGGTCGCTTGGTCGGTGTAGTTCGCTTGCCGACTCAAGCCACGGAGTTTTTTTTTCAAATGTCAGACTTTATTGAACGCCAAATTTAAGATCTCCCAAATTCAGATGATGAGGAATAATTAATTATTTAAATAACATATCTTACACGTATTTTCTGTAACTGAACTTAAGACAGTTACACTGTCGTTTAATCTATGTATCTGTCTGTCTACCTACCCACTCACACACCTACCTACCTACCTATGGCTCTACAGTCCTTTGTTGAACCTTGGCCATTTTTCAGTTTCTTGATCTTGTACACAGACGGTAGGGCTCCTTCGACGAGTGATCAGCCCGTCAGAAGGCCGCTACCTACACACAGAACAACACAAACACAGAATAAACGCACACAGACATCCATGCCTCGAGTGGGATTCGAACCCACGATCTCAGTGTTCGAGAGGGCGAAGACAGTTCTTGCCTTAGATCGCACGGCCACTGTGATCGGCGTTACTTAATCTATATAGTTGATTTAGTGAAAAAGATAAAAATTAAAATGTGCAAAACTATAATTTTTGTCTTTGGTTCTGTATGGGTGTGAAACTTGGTCTCTGATAGTATGGGAGGAACAAAGACTGAGGGTGTTTGAGAACAGGATACTGAGGAGAATATTTGGACCGAAGAAATGAAGTAACGAGAGACTGGAAGAAACTGCATAATGAGGAGCTTCATAACTTGTACTCTTCGTCAAGTATAATTAGAATGATGAAGTCAAGGAGGATGGGATAGGCAGGGCATGTAGTACGAACGGGGAGAAAAGGAGCGTATATAGGATTGTGAACATGGTAATAAACCTTCGGGTTCCATAAAATGCTGGGAGTCTCTTGAGTAGCTGCACAACTGGCGGCTTCTCAAGAAGTACTCAGCGCCATGAGTGAGTGAGTGAGTGAGTGCTGACGCTCCTGATTTGCGTGTGAGAGATACCACATTCGAGTTTCAGCTAGGGCGTCGCTTCGGCTATACTAACCGAGATTTGGGTTATGGCAACGTGTACTCTTCTTGTACTCTAAAGATGAAGGCAACAGTTTCCTCCTAAACATTGGTAGGCAAGTACCAGACAGCACGTCATAACCCGGAGGGTTACAACATGAATGTGCATCGTCATGAAAACCTCGATGCTAGTAAAAGTCTTTCCTGGTTTCGTAAGTTTTGTTCAGGCGAATTTCGGAATATTGGGCTAACTTGAAATGATCGTACTCAGCCATACCCCATCGGCATTCCATTCTAACCATTTCTCTGTACACGAGCCAATCAGGTTCTTATCTCATTCTAAGCTGAAAGAATCCTCCGAGTTGATACAGCTTCGTCAAAAAATATGTACAAATACTTTAATTGTTTTATTTAATTGCGCTTGAGGATGTACTAGAATTGCCATGCTTCAAACATGTAATTGTACTGCAAATATTATTCATAATTATAGTATTATGTACCCAGTCCGAATAGGAGACGGAGTAGAGTAGTCGGTATAGCACCTGGCTATGGGCTGGCCGACTGAGGGGTCGCAGTTCGAGTCCTGGTAGGGTCAAGAATTTTTTTTTCTCCAAATCGTCCATACCGACTCTCAGTTCCACCTAACCTCTTTTCCAATGGGTACAGGGGGGTAAAGCGGCCGGGGCATGAAGCTGACCACTCCTAGATAGTACCAAGCTAAAGAACACATGGATCTGTACATCCATACGCCTTCATGGCGTAATGCTTATTTCGTTGAGCAAAGTGACAACCTTTTACCCACTATCTGCAAATTCCGCCGTCCGGCGCCGAGTCTGGGTGCTGCAGTGCAAACATGAAAGAATGTGGCATCAACTGAAGCACTTAGTTACAGCAGTGCTGTGTCTTCAGAAGGAGACCGGACATTTCCCCAGTATTACATCCAGTTCAAGTCCACTCCGTTTCTTTGGTTAGGCCTATCCATTGCAAGAAACCCATCAAGAATCAGTTCATACGCGAGTTCGAAAGAAACTTAAAAGTAAATTCATAGGATGAGATTTTAAAATTTATAGTTATTCGGCTGTTCAAAATTTTCCGCTTTTTAAGAAACGTGAACCGTAAAAACGAATGTCCACCGTTTGACTGTATCCTGAGTAAGCAGTCAAAGTAAAATTCACTTTGCGACTATCAGTCAGTCTGTCACGGTGTGGAGCCACGTCTGGGGCTCTTGACCAGATATTGAGCAAGTTGATTCCAGTCTACAATTTAATAGTTGTTTCTCCAAGAACCGCTTGAATATGACGCCCCTATACACATAAGAGCAGCCGGAATAGCGTAGTCGGTATAGCGACTGGCTACGGACTGGATGACTGAGGTGTCGGAGTTCGAGTCCCAGTAAGGTAAAAAAGAATCTCTTCTCCACGTTATTCAGACCGGCTCTGAGGTTCACAAAACCTCCAACGGGTACAGGTCACTGGGCGGTAAAGCAGCCGGGGCGTGAAACTGACCGTTCACTTCCAGGTAGTGTCGAGTTCAATAAAATGTGGATCTACGTTTACATCCACTCCCCATACGCCTTCATGGCGTAGTGCTTAATTAGTTAAGCACAGGGACAACTTGACCTGTTTTGCACATACAAGTCTCCCCAGCTCTTCCTCTTAAGGCTGACGGATCAAAATTTTGTATTTCTTATTCTTTGTGTCATCCTTCTTTACTTGTTCAGTTAAACCACATTACGCCGGTCACGGTAGCCCAGCGGTCTAAGGCATGTACTGTCTTCGCTTGCTCGGAAGCCGGGATCGTGGGTTCGGATCTGTTTCCTGTGAGGTACGAACTGAATTCTTATATATTATTCTTATACACTGCCGGTCACTGTAGCCGAGCGGTCTAAGGCATGTACAGTCTTCACTCGCTTGGAAACCGGGATCGTGGGTTCGAATCCACTCAGGACATGGATGTTTAGTTTGTGTGTGTGCGTTTTTCTGTGTTTGTGTACAGGTAGAGGCCTTGCGACGAGCTGATCACCCACCCAAGGAGTCCTACCGAATGTGTAAGATCAAGAAAAACCGAAGTGAACGGAGAAGTTCATGGAGGTAAGCCTAGGCCCACGGGGGTTGTAGTGCCAAGGAAAAAGGAAACCACATTACGCGAAGAGTTTGAAATCTAAAACTCATCATTATGCATCTTTATCTTGTTCCTTGTTACTTGAAGTTTTTGCGTTCTGAAATCTTGCCGTTTATTCATATCATTGCGTTTATTTTTGTTCGTATGTAATGACATTTTCTGGTTTGTCACGCGATGTTTCCAGTAACCGTGAACTACATATGGACCCATATGTTTTACACTCAGTCACATTAGAAACAGATGATCAGATTCGCTTGTTTGGGGGGGGGTTAGGATCTATACATGCAACCCGTTCTCTCAAGGCGCTTTGTTCTAGCAGTGACCCAGTATCAGGAGAAGACCGTTGGCTGATGCCATTCTATCGATTTTCCAATATGTGCTATGTATATTCGACTTGCTTGGATTTTCTGCTGTGGCTGCGCGCACACTGTGTTTCGGACCGATCTCTTTATTTGGACGGACACTGTCATATCGTCACTGTATTAACATCGTCATAAACACAGTTACATGCTCCATGCTCGTTCACAAGAAATACCGAAAATTATTTCTTCTATGTGCAGTTTCGAAGCGAAGCAGATTAGTTGCAGTGTTGTTCTGTCAGTTGTGAACATTGTTACGATATCTCGTGAAGCTGAGGGGTGTAAGTGCTTCAGCTGTTTGCAAGGAATTCTTGAGTCAAATGATGATGGATATATGTTACTACATGACAATACGAGAAAAAAGCTCAGGTTTATTTCGTGTTTAAGTGATATTTCCTGGTTTGGTGGTATTTGTTTATTCACACTGTAACATTAAAAGTGACACTCGTAATATTTTGTGAAAGAATTATGAACGGAGTAAAGTGTTACTGATTTTTTTATTATTTTTTTAGAACTGAACTGTATAACCCTTCTGACAAAGGGCTTTCAGACTGTCACATACCTAAATGAGCTGCTGTTCTTATCTGTAAGTACTGTGCCATATGTTTTCTATGTGCTCTCTTTGAAATGGATGTTTTAATTATTTGAAAACAAACAGAATACTAGTGGAATATATTGTCTTCGTATGTCTTTACAATACGGTAGCTAGTCCCACGCTTCTTTGGTGGTATATATTATGACGTAGTTAACAAAATTTAGTTGCAGTTTTCTTATGGTTACTGTACTGGCATATTTTCTTACGTTTCGATATCAAATGTTTCCAAAAAATCCGTATTCAGTGACTGGTTGATCTGGGTTTGATTAAATGCCGTAAGTTTTCATGTTTGCATGTATATATACGGAGGCTTTCTCATTAATGGCCGTTGTTGTAGGTTTGCAGAAATCTTATCCACTTTTGTATCTGTTACATCCACTTGAGTGTGCATTTCCTTAATTTCCTCCGCGAAAATAGTGTGATTATTAACCTTCTGACGTCATATATTTGTCATTTAAGGCATGTAATGTTATGTTAGCCGTAGATAAATACACGTGATGAGGTTTGTGGAAACAGAAGCTCATAGCGTACAATAAACAAACGTATGGCTGTTGGTGGTGTAGAAACAAGCCGTAAACTAATTGAGTTTAGATTCTGGTCTCCTGAGTTATGACGCTTTATAATCTCTAGGTGGTCACCATTTCTACATTGAAGATTGAGGCAGCAAGTTCCTCCGAAATATTGGCAACCATCTACGACATTTCATGAAGTTATAACCCACAAAACCACAATAAATAATTTTACCGCCATTAAAATTAAAGCAAACCTATCGTATATTTTCGTTTAACTCACTTTGGTTACCAGTATTTGTGGGTCCAGTAATCATAAATAAAAACTAAAATGTTGCAAATAGTTTTATGGTAGCTGACGTCATGTGGGTACGTGCTAAAAGGGATAGAGTGGGTGATCACAGTACTGTAAATTTCTTTCTTGTCATTAGCAAATATATATATATATAACTTATTTTGACTATTTCTTCACTTTTGCTCTTATTCATACTTATTCGGTGCGGCAAACTAATAATCTGTCACGGAACGCGGCCATAAATACGGACATTTATATTTGTTATTGTTGTATTTTGTAACTTTTTTTTTAATATTTGGTAATATTTTAAACTAATAGCGACATTGTAGTGATTAACTGCAATGCGACGTAAATAGATCTGTAGCCTGTAGTTAGCTAATGAAATTGTTTTATTTGGAAGGAAACCCTCGCCCGCCCAATTCCCCAGCCTGAAGCCACTCATTTGCCTTCCTTAATTTTTTCTATTGCTAGTGGGGTGGGACTAAGTCCCTTGTACTGCGGCCACTTCTGGCCTATTGTACCAGCCCCAGATGATAGGTGAGGGTGATTGTGGAGCAATTGGTGGAATGAAGATTGGCAGGGGAAACCGAAGTACTCGGAGAAAACATGCCCCAGCGCCACTTTGTCCACCATAAATCCCATTTGACCAGACCCGGGATCGAACCCGGGCCGCCGCGGTGGGAAGTCAGCGACTAACCGCTTGAGTTATGGCGCGGCCTCGCCTTCCTTAATACTGACTCAGTCGTAGCAGCTGGTTTCGTCTTAACCTTGTCACGGTTTTGAACCAAGCTTTTGACGTACATTTTTGTAATAAAACTTTTTGGAGTAGACTCTACATTGTTATAAGTTTACTACTTCAGGGACAAGAAGTTAGCAATCCTGATTCAGATCTTGGCCTAGATGTTTGCTATTTTTGCATAAGTTACCTGTGATCCCCAATCCCTCCGCACATGCTAGGACATGTCAAAATAGATTTCTACGCTTTCTCCCACTTCTAATTTTCAGTTCACCTTTTAAAAACAAGCGTTAGACGAAGAGTCGTTAATTAAACCAAGAAACTATTTGCAACTTAAGAGAACCCTCGTAGTTACATTGTAGCCGAACCTCTCGCCTTCCGTTCAGCTCTCATTTCGGTGTTGTTTTGGTTAATTTGAAAAGTAATTAATGAGAATGAATGGGCGCCGATTAGAGATGTACTCCCATAAACGAAATTAAGTGTAAGTAAACGAATCTGATTGGACGGATTAGGGAGCTGGGTAACACGAGAGGCTGAAGGCTGTTGCGACCCAGGTTATCAGCATCACTCATATAGGATTAGTTTATTCGCCAGTAGGAGACACTATCTATCTATCTATCTATCTATCTATCTATCTATCTATCTATCTATCTATCTATCTATCTATGACTCTACAGTCCTTTTTGTTGGACCTTGGACGCTTTTTGAGTTGCTTAATACGATACACTGCCGGTAGGACTCCTTGGCCGAGGGATCAGCCCGTCGCAAGGCCACTACCTACACACAGAGCAACACAAACACAGAATAAACTCACACTGACGCCCATGCCTTCAGTGGGATTCTAACCCACAATCTCAGCGTTCGAGCAAGCGAATATAGTTGATGTCTTAGACCGCGAGGCCACTGTGACCGGCACTAGGAGACACTATGAAACACTTATGATGAAAGAATGAGTAAAGAAAACACAGCACAATTCACTGTCCATTTACATGCTTTTGACACCCTCATAGTCTCGAATCTTGCAACTAAATTAATTTCTGTTTAGAAAATGTTCACTTGAATGCTACATCAAATTGGGCACATTGAGTTCCTAAATGATTTATGATCATTAAGTTCAATTTGGATCTTTAATACAGCAATTCAGTAGCGGAAAGCAGCACACGTCTGCTCCGAAACAAAAGGTGGCGCCAAGTGATCTACAGCTTCGACAACCATCATCAGAAAACAACGCAACAAACAGAAACGCACTAATTTTCTGAAAATACGCAATTCTGTCGACTGATAGGCTAAATTCAAACTGGATAATTGCGTTATAACTGCCCCACTAAGAATTTGGTTTGCTGGCATTTGTGAAGCCTTTTCGACACGTGCAACACATTCAGCATGGGCGCGTCGCCTTGGGATTTCAAGTTCGTAAACTTATAGCTATACAGTACTGTCACGGAGGCGACAAACTGGCGCCTTGACGTGTCGAAATTTCCACTAAAACATCGCATTGCCAGCGCAAGACGAAGCAACACGACGCTGTAAAAGCCACTATCATAGCTTTTTTTTATTGCTGGTGGGGTGGGACTAAGTCCCTTGTACTGTACTTATACTTTCACTTCTGCTCCATAAGTTTTCTGTTAGGTACAATGTAAACAAATCAGAACCTGAAGCGCCTAGCGTACCTAACATTAATCAAGGGCCTTATAAGGTGCACTCAGATACGTATCTGTTCTTCTACTTCGCCTTTCAGCAGTTCGCCACTGCAGGACTTCGATCGTAATTCGCTGTTCCTATTCCACGCCATGAAGGCGTATGGGGGAGTGAATGTACAGATCAACATTTTCTAGCTGGAGGTGAATGGTGAGAGTCACGCTCTGGCCGCTTTATCCCCGGGAAAGACCCCCCGGTACCCATTGGATAGGAGGTTGGGTGGAACCGAGAGCCGGTCTGGACGATTTGGAAAAGAGAAAATTCTTGACCCTAGCGGGACTCCAACTCCGACACCTCAGTTGTCCAGGCCGTAGCCAGTCGCTTTACCGACTGCGCTACCCGGCTCATGTATGATCCCCGCAACCGGAAACTTTGTTTACATAGCCACACATAGATAAACAGCGTGCTTTTTTTCTCATGGTTTGCTACAACAGGTCTAGCGCCTTGTTCGAATCTGAACGAAGTTCTATGTTCATCTCATGAAATGCAGCCTTCACACTAAGCTGAAAATTCAGTGTACCTTACTTTAATTTATGCATTTATATTTCTCGCTTCGAGACCTTTTAAAGGAACGTTGATAAAGCTGAATTTGAGTGATGAAGCACAATCTATACGTGGTCACAGATGAATGCTGCCTTGTGAGATTACCTGGAAGACTTGTGAAATTGTTATCATCAGATTTCCACAGATAAAAGTCTTTCGCCATATCTAATATAACTCATAAAATATTCCTTGTATATAACACTGTACTTACCTTTAATTGAGGGGCACGCGGTAACGTAGTTGGTTGAGGCACTGTGTTACAAGCCGGAAGGTCGCGGGTTCAGGTCCCGATGAGGTCATTGGATTTTTGCAATTGACCTAATCCTTCCAGCTACACTATGGCCCTGGGGTCGACTCAGCCTCTAACAGAAATGAGTACCAGGTATATCCTTTGGGGGTAAAGGGCGGCCGGCGCGTAGGGCTGACAACCTTGACACCATCTATGAGCCGAGTGTCTAGAAAATGTGGGAACCTCAACATTTCACAACCCTATGGGCCTCCAGGGCCTGTTACAGGGATACATTTACTTTACTTACTTACTTTTAATTATGGGCCGCGCCATAGCTCAAGCGGTTAGTCGCTGGCTTCCCACCGCGGCGGCCCGGGTTCGATCTCGGGTCTGGTCAAGTGGGATTTGTGATGGACAAAGTGACGCAGGGGCAGGTTTTCTCCGAGTACTTCGGTTTCCCCTGCCAATATTCATTCCATGAATTGCTCCACAATCATCCTCACCTATCATCTGGGGCTGGTACAGTAGGCCAGAAGTGGCCGCAGTAGAAGGGACTTAGTCCCACCCCACTAGCAATTAAAAAAAGCTTTAATTATTCCTCCCCCCCCCCAAAGTTTCTGAATTATGTTTGTGTAGCCCGGGAAGAATAATCAGAAACATTACTACAGCTGATTTCTATTCACGGCAGAGACTGTGTTCGCATCTCAGCCGATAAATCAGCTGCGTGTTGCCGCTTTCATGGTCCTTCTTGGTCTTTCAAGGCAAATGCCTGAATCGTACCTGAAAACAAGCCACGGCAGCTCCTTTATCCTTCACAGTTCGTAGTTCATAGACTTGCCTCTCATCTCTTCCCACGCTATGTAATATCTGCGATTGATAAGGCGGCAGTATATAACCTACGAACCAACCGGCCAAGGCGTACCTTCATGCCTTCAACTATCGATTTTTGCAACTTTAGCTTCGCAAGCAGCTGGCAAGCGA